ACATACACATTTGAATTACAACTGATTTGAAATTGGGAATACTTCAAGCGGAAACTTACGGACTGAATATAAAGTCCAGATCCCTGAATGTTTTCCAAAGTGAGGACTTAGAACACTGTCCCCACCAGCATGGAGAACCAGAATCAAGTTTTGAGGTGTTTACCATCTGGGTTTGATTACTGGTACTAACAGTAACCCATTTATTGGCTGTAACATATAAACAGATTTAGGGTCTGCATCTTTGGAGTTTTACATTTAAAAGGTCAAAAGACTTTTTGATAGTCTGCTTAGATGGAATCTCTGGTCTTGGGGGCTTGCAGTAGGAGTGATGAATCCAATGGCTCTTTCTGGTGACCTTGATGGATGTGAGATAGGGTCCTTTCTATTGATGTAGATTTGATCGCCAAGTGGGCTGCTAGAGGGTCATCAGGCTTTTTGAGAACAGTCGTCTGGATTCTGGACAAATGGTGGATCGAGTGCAAGAGGGGCTGTAGATCCTATAAGGTCTTAATAAGTTGCCCATTACTGACAGCAGCCAACTTATCCCCTTGAATATGGGGCAATTGGCCATACATGGCCTCAAATGCAGTAATATCCTGGAGGTAAGGGGTAAATAGCACAAACAGAAGAGCAAAAGGAAGGAGATTTGCCATTTTGCCAGTTTCAAGAACCAGTTTTTTAAAAATTTCCTTTATGGTCTTGTTTATTTTCTCTACTTGGCTTGAATTTTGAGGCCGGTAGGCACAATGTAATTTCCAATGGATTTCCAAAGCTGCAGCTAAATTTTGAGTAATCTGAGCTATAAAAGCTGGGCCATTGTTGGACCCCAGGTTGGTGGGCACACCAAATCGAGGTGCTATCTCATAGAGGAGTTTCTTAGCTACTGTGAGAGCTGATTTAGATGTAGTGGTGAATCCTTCGGTCTACCCGTTGAATGTGTCTATGAGAATTCAGAGAAATTCATGTCCCCTTTTTCCTGGGCCCATTTCAGTAAAGTCTATCTCCCAGTGGTGTCCAGGGGTAAATCCTCATGGTCTCTTTCAAACATCAGTGGTGGCCAGCTTAGGATTCACCCGAAGACATTATGGACATTTTTGATTGACCTGTTTAGTCAGACAAGATTATTTAGCCAATCTGGTTCCCCCAAGTGAGTGGCCTGATGGGTCTCCTGGGCGAGATGAGATGAGGCACATAGTGAGATGAGAACTTGCCTATCCAGTAAGGTCTGCCAGCCTTCCAGAGAGAGTTGGGCTTCTAGGCTCTTTGCTGGTCTCAAGTCTGAATCTGAATAGGATGACTTGAGTAGCATGGGTGGTGGAGAGCTGGGAGGAGTGTTATGGCCCCATTGATTTCAGTACCACCTCTTCGGCTGTCTTTTCACCAAGGGCATTTCCATGAGCTATTGGGATGCATTCTCGTTGGTGCCACAACGTATAATGGAAAAACTTTTGAGGAAACCAAATGGCAGGCAGGAGGTCTCATGTCTCGGGGACATTCTGGATCTTTGTTTCTTTTGAAATTTATAGCTCCATGAATATGGATGGTAGCAAAAACATACAAATTACACACACACACATACACACATATATATACATATACATATATATATATACACACATATATATTTGCTAGTTGGCTTCCAAGCAGCTGGCTTCCAAACAGCTGCTTTTAAAACATTCAAAAAAAGTCTGGAAAAATCATACAGAGAGCCTCCTATCTTGGATAGAGTAAGTGAGGGGAAATCTGAGGTCCAAATGGGCCTTGTCCCATCTGGAGTGCCATCAAGTCCCAGGTCCAGTGTTTATCTCAGGATGTGGATGCGCTCTTGTTTCTCATAAGTAAAGAGATTCTGGAGGAGCGCTTGGCAGGTTCTTCAGGGGGAATGAGTTGGGAGAGGAGGATCCTGGGGCAGAAGCCCAAAAAAGGTGTGCTGCAGGTGGCCATGCTTGTGTCTACTAGAGAAGCCATGCTGCTGCTTGTGCACTTGGCCAGGGAGAGCTGCACACCACCATTGCCCCCACCACACTGCACAGGCTTTGGCTTTGGCTCTGGCTCTGGCTCTGGCTCTGGCTGTGGGGGTTGCCACTGTCTCGTTGCCTGTGCTCCTGCAGCTGTGCTGGGAGTCACAGCATAAAATGGTTAAGGTGCCATGCTTGGGCTGATTACTCCGTGTACAGGAAGGAGGAATGGGATGCTGAGCTATTTTTTGTTCTAGAAGACTGGAAATATTCAGTATTCAGTGTTCAGTTTTCAGGGTGTGGGGGCACATGGTGAATGAGGGAACTGCAGGCAGGGGTGAGTACACCTTCTCACCAGGGAACCCCACCAGATGGGGTGCCCATAGTGATGGCAGTGGCAGCAGCTGCAGTAGTAGTGCCGTTGTTTTTTGAAGAGTAGAGTTAGACCTGCTAACACAAAGACAAATTAGAGACCTAAAAGTGGTGGTTTGCCATAGGAAGATGTTCTCCAGAAAAATATCTGAAAATGTTTAAGAAAACAATGCAGAGGCAACAAAAAAGCAGAAGCAGACTGACCCAATCACATGAATAACAGACACTGAACTGGTTAGAAAAAAGATCAATAAGACAAAGATAGAGATTAAGTCAGTGTATAAACTGACACCAGGAACTAATTAGACACTAAGGATGGCAAGTCCCAGGCCAAGTTGGTCTTGGTCTGGGATTAAGTCCCCCAGAGTGAAATGTTGCATCCAACATCTCCAGGACCATGAGGGGCACGTCTACAAACTAAAACAATCTCATTGGTAAGGACCTGGACTTCTCACACTGAATTAATGTCCAGGATTTCTGTTTTGGTTTCTCTTTGAAATGAAAAGATTCCTCAGGGATGAAAAAAACATCTCTCAGTAGTCCCCCTAAAGAATAATTCACCCCAACACAATGACGCTTGAATTGTTTGGTTCTGACCTGCGTTGTTCTCTTACAATGTCCTCTCTTATCTGAATCTCGCCCCATTTTTTAAAATTAATCTATTTTCTCTCATTTTTTTAATTAAGGGAAAACTAAATTAAAAAATAGTGGGATATATTATAGTAACTTTCTTGGTTTTCCTATTAACCTGATTTGAACCCCAGGATTGCTCTCCTCATCTTGTTCTGTCTGATTATTCTATATTCTATTTTGTTTGGTAGTATCAAATTTGAGGGTATAGGCAACCACTTTGAAGGCATAAGATATACTATGATGCCCATTATGGTTTGACTATTATCCTTTTTTTGAAGTCCTGTAAGGTCTCCAGTGTAGGTTTTAATGGTCTTGTTCTGTACTGTTTTGATCAATTCTATTATACCTGACGATATAGGCAACTCAATTTAAAAATAGCAAGAGGCACAATGGTAACCACTTTCGATCACCTGGTATTCTATTTTTGCAACATGTACCATGTCCATCCTTCTATTCTGACTCTGTTTTGCTTAGTCACGTTTGGTTTTATTCTCTTTGAAATAAATGTAATAAGAACCGTGGGAGTAATAAAACCCAAAAAGTCTAATTGTTATTGTTAAAAAGAGAGAAAAGGAAGGTGGACTAAGGGATATAACCGCAATATGTTTGAGTGTGTAGGATGGAAAACCATATTACTGAGCTTTTGTTGGATCATTGAACCGAACTGTCTACAATGTCACTGTATGAATGTCCACTTTATATGCTTTAATTTTGTAATTTGGACAACTTTTTCTGGGAAGATGATATATAACCTATTAACTGGAGATTTCTTACTGTATATTTTTTTCTTGAAATTCTCTATTACTTGTACCCCTTTACTGCTTTTTTTTTCATGTCCTTTCTTTTTTTCTCTTTAAATAAAAAAAAAAAAGAATAATTCACCTCGATTAAAAGCTTGGATGCTTCAAATCCCTAAAAGGGGGGCAGGCATCCTGGGTGAGCCCCAAAATGAAGTGGGTTCAAGAGCAATATAGGAATCCAAGCAGCCTAATTGATAAATTTGGGGTTTTATTAGCTGAGATCAGTGACCACATGCATACACCCATTTGAGAGTCCCACTGAGTGGCACTAAACTGGAAAGTTTTAGAGCTTTTTAAAACAGAAAACCACAAAAAGACACCCTGTTAGAAACAATTTATCTAAAATCTTACATTAAATTTTGTTTGACTCACGTATCTTGCTTGTTCGTTGAGCAGGTTAATTTTTCGCTTGTGGTTACAAGTCATTCTGCTTTTCTGGAACTTGTAGTCTAAGTAATTGCTCACACTTCTGAGTCAAATGCAGGGCACAGATGGCAATAGTTATGCCAAGCTACAACAGAAATGAACAGCTACTTTGAAGAAAAAGAGACATTATGGTATCCACTGCTGATTTCTTATTGTCATGCTGTGAAACCCAGTGATGTCTTTATTCTTTGTCCAGAGTGGTGTTAGTCTACTTTGTATGATTTAATTTCAACATACATGGAGGTATGGACAGCTATCTTGAAGAGAACAAGACACATTACTGTGGCCATTATTGATTTCTTATCGTCTGGTTTTGAAGCCTTATAATGTCTAAATTACTCTGCTTTGATCAATTTTATACTATTTTGTTTGGTATGTATTCATTTTGTGTGAAGAAGATATAGACAATTATTTAGATGAAAACAAAAAACATGGTAGCCACTGTAGATGTCCTTGCTATGTAATCTGTGTTACTTAATTTGTTTTCTTCTAATCTGCTTTGTTCTGTTGTGTCATTTTTTTATTTTACCGTGTTTTGAATAAATAAATAAATGAATAAATAAATAAATAAATAACATTTCTTCTAAAATCAAGATGCTTTAAACTTTTTCGTATAAGAGAAAAGAAGGGACCCTAAGATTCCTGCATAACAACTTTGAACCCCCAAGTACATCTTTGGAGATCAGATTACAAGTTTTGCTTCCTTGATTTTCAAGAAGTAGGCCAGTCTGGCTAGTATCTTTCCTACACGCTAACTGCAAATAGAATTGTATTAAATGATGTGCATGTAAATGTCTCATTTCTCTTACAGGGGTTCAGTCCATCACAATTTTGTTGACTTCACTTTTGCCACTGGGAAAATTATTGGACAGATGTTATCATTGAAAGGAAAGATAGACTCAGAGGTAGCTATGGACCTCATCAACAAAGCTTCGTTAGCATTCTTACAGAAATACTTAGGTAAGAAACTGGTATTTTCTCTGTGAAATGGATGATTCTCAGGACAGAACTGTGCTGCCTTAAAACTATGCTACTGTCATTTTAACCTTTTTTCAGTAGACTCCAGATTAGCCAAAGCAGTAACTCAATTTTTTCTTTCTTTTTTTTTTTTTTTTTTTTTTTTTTTTTTTTTTTGGTCTTTTTCCTTTTTATCGGTACCAGGGATGGAACTCACGACTGCCTGCTTGGAAAGCAGGCGCTTATGCCGCTGAGCTAAATCCCGAGCCCCAGTAACTCAATTTCAAAAGCAAAACTTTAAGAGCTAATTTTACCACTGGGGATATCACAGATCATAGAAAGCATGTCTGCCTGTGAAAGTCGGGGTGAGGAGCACCCTGGGGTCCTGGCTCCTTTCTCAGTTTCCTGCCTCTGCTGAAGCATCCCTTTGGGGCACAGTTTGGGCTGTGTAATGTTTAATCTCTAATGTCATCTAGAGGCCCTAGGCTGTTTAGTGTGCTCAGATGTTTCATAACTTTTCCCATTTCGTGTTTTCCAGGACTTGATAAAAATTTTGACCAGTGGAACTCTCTGATGGAAGGAGATGATGAGAATCTTATTCCAGAGTTCACAATACCCACCACTATGCAGAGCTCTACAGGAACAGAACAAAGGAATCCAGATTAAAGGCAGTTTTTTTTTTTTAAAGAAAAGTTCATTGAAAAACTATCTAAAACAGAGCGAGTGCATGTGTGAAGAGACTTCAATGTATTTTCTGAGGTGACTCATATTTTAAAATGTGGGCTATTCAGTAACACTGGCAAAGGCTTGAGTTAAGAAAATTTTCCCTTAAACGTAAGCAAAGAGTGAAATATTAAAACAAAAATATCACATCAACCTAGTTGGAATTTCATTGAACTGATCCTTTTTTACTGTCAAAATTAAAAACTGTTTTTATAATATTTTAATGGCAGTGCATATTAAAATAGATAAAATGACAATGAAAATGTCTCAAAGATCTAAGATCCTGTAAGCCTACAGGGCTTTTTGTCTGTGATACTAAATTATGATCAGCACAGTTTTAGCAACACAGCATTCTAGGCAAAAGTGGCAGTGTTTCTCTTTGACTTTTGGTCCTGATAAATAAAATTAGATAAAGTTGAAAGTAAAGACAAAGTTTTAATGCAGACTTGCTGATAAGAGGAGTGGATGAAGGTTAGGACAGTTGGGGACAGGGAAGAGACAGCAGAATAAAGAGAGTGGGTAACTTATTTGCATTTTTAATGCTTTATCTCTGATGCCATTTAATGAGCAAAGGTGCCTCTGGGTTAGAGTTGGGTACAATGCCTGGGGACTCCGACCTGTGAAGAATAACAAAGAAAACATTCAGAAGTATGCTTTTCTTCTTTAAAAGGGGTTTTTTCAATTTTGCAAATTTTATATGTAACAATGGTATCACAAGTGGGTGTTAAAAAATACCTTAAAATGCTGATACTTATAAATCTGGAAATCTTCGGAAATGTTTTTTGCTGTTCATTACTGTTCATTTGCTGTTCATTCAGAAATGTTTTTTGCTGGTCTTAAGTTTGATGTGACCCCTACAGAATCCCCAGAACTAAGTGCACTTAGCTCAAGCCTGCTCTGTTTGATCAGGGCCATCCATGCTAACCAAGCAAACCTGGCTCAAGGACCAGTCTTAAGTGCTTTTCCCTGGTCACTAAGCAATGGTATATCCTGATTTGGCCCCACCAGACTGATTTAGTGCTTAAAGGTAAAAAATCACTCAATCTGAGAAAACTGACTTCTCATCCCTGACGTCATTTAGAATACAATTGTTTAAATGGTGATTCTGACCCTTAGTTTGAATCGGACAGTTTTCTACAATCTGACCAAAGTGTACATCCTTCCATGTTGTCTATTGATAATACATCGCTGGATCTCCCAGTGAGCCTGCCCAAGTTGCCTACTGATTCTTTACCCTAGGAAGAAGCAATGTATTTATCAACTCAACTGTTAGAGCACGTTTTACAATAATTTGTTGGTGGCACAGACAGATGCCAAAACGAGAAAAAAGCTGGTGAACATACTCAATGAATTAAAGTTTAAAAAGAAAACAATCTAGTCTTTTTTAGGGAAAAGAGAGCAACATTTGCCAAGTGTTCACTCCTTTTCAGCAAAAACAAGTATTTCTGTGTAACAATACAAGATCGAGGTGTGGTGGTGCACACCTGTAATCCCAGAACTCCGGAGGCCAGGCAGGAAGATTGCTATGAGTTCAAGGCCAACCCTGGCTACACAGTGACTTCATGCTCAGCTCGGTCAGCTCAGCAAGACCGTGTCTCATAAAGCAAAAAGAAAAACAGTGTAAGGCTTTATCATAGCCATTTTATAGATGAGGAAGATCAAGGCTAAAAGCTATTATATAACCCACCAGGGTCACCTATCTAGTAATTAACATGGAGCCAAGAGCTGCGTGCTTCGCACTAAACACCCCATATTTTAAAGGCATTCGATGTTGGAGGATGTGAGATGGATCAAGATTGATCAAGCTCTGAGGGTCCCTAGCTGACCTTAGGCAACTTGTTTAACTTTTCTTAAAGTCTTCAATTTTCTCACCTCTAAAATATGGATGTCACTCTGCACCTAAAAGCCAATGGTTAAAATGGAACAATGCTTCAAAATATCACTTAATAGCTGAGGGCCAAGATTTCATATTGCTAAGTTTCCCAAGTCCCAATTTTAGAGGAAGACAGATGGTACCACAGGCACAAGGAAGGGAGAGCACCGTGACTTTAAGTATAAACTTTATTGTCATCTCATGCCATACTAGCAAGCAAAATAAGAAGAAGAAGAATATTTAACTAGAAAGATAAAGCAAAACTTCAAGGTCCAAATAAAAACTCTGAAGAAGTTACTGCTACCAAATCCCTACTAAGCAGTGTCATCTAACAGACTTGTCACAAACCTATATTTTTCTATTAGAATGTAAACATTATATTGAAAAGATGTCAACAGTTTTTCCTTTGAAATGTGAGTAAAGTGGTAACAAAATTGCTGAGCAATGAAAATCCTCCCAGATCACTAGAAACATAAAAATAATTAAAGGTAGAAGAGAGATCCCAAACCCATCAACACAGCAGTCACAGTATAAACACACTCCATCGCCAATCACTGCCCTGTTTTGTTTTTGAGACCCATCAGTTTTCAGCAGTGACACTAAGCTGTGATGTGCTGCCAGCCTTCTCTGGTATTCCTGGTCCAGTTGAGACATCATTTGGGCTGCTGCAAGAGGCCTCAGCAAAACCGAGGTCACCTCCAGACCCCTCTTCTGAGACAAGAAGAGAAACACCTTCATCTGAGAAAGAAGTATTAAGACAGAAAAATTATTCAGGGGCACTCAACCAGGATGAATCTAATGACCTCTCAAAAGAGAGAGGGAGCTGTGAGTGTTCTAATTACTGCAAAGAAATAGAAATACAGATGTTTTTAGTAGTTTGCTCTTACACTCTGCCTATTAACAATATTTCTTTGAAAGATCTTGGAACTGGCTGCCTCTTGCGACACTGAGGTTAACAAGGCTTATCACCAGTGGTTCTCTTTTTTTTGATGGGTGTGTGATTTTCCACATTACACTGAAGACATCGACAGCTGACCTCATAGTCAATGTGCCTCAACTCTGAGAGCCAAAGTGCTACTTCTGAATGCCAGTAGCATAACTCAGCACACCCAGCAACTTGAGTCTCACCACACAGCTCAGCTAAACATACATATAAAGTCTGCTCTGTCCTGTGCATTGGAAACTGTAAATGTACCCTTAAAACCCATCATGGAATGCCTTTACATAGATGCTAAAATAATGCATGTCTTAATTTGGAAAGGGGAATGTGCTTAGGGAAAACTAGAATATTTGCAGTAAGGAAAACAATCAAAACCTTTTGTATCTTGGACAGATTTCACTTGGTCTTAGATACAGGTAAGCTCAGTGCAGAGATGGGGAGTTAAGGAGAGTTTCCAGTGCTGGCCTGAGCCCCGAGTTGAACAGGATCATTTCTCTTAGAGAAGCATTTTCTTGCTCTGAGAAACTCTTGTCCTATCTCCCTTCAGTCACTGACCAAGTGTTGGAGTCAAGGAAGAGCTGTAAAGCCTTTAACAGCTTTGGCAGGGGCAACCTTCTCACTGTCACGCAAGGTGACCCTGATCTCCTTCCTGACATACTTTGACTTGTGCTCTCAAGAGCCCGATGCCTCTGGGAATCCCATGTGTGTGTGGCAGAAGTTTCAGCTCCTCACGACTAGATAGGTTCTGGGTTACACTTACATGCCAGATGTCCTTAATTATTTATGGGAGCAGTGACAACTTTGGGGGTCAATGCTGACAAATGTAACAATGACTTTGGGACCTGTAAGGTCTCTTTTGCTCTCTGTGCCATAGTAGTTCCTTGGGGTTGGGCTGCCTGGGACTTCTGTAAGGGGGAGGTATAGTTTTTCCTAAAGTCCTTATTTCTATTTCTTTTGACTCTTCTGATGTCTTCGAAGGCTGACTCAGTTGCTGTCCTTTAAATATCAGCAAGTGTGACATACAAATGTGGTCTTCCAACCTTTGAAAACCCTCAGAAGATCTAGTAGCAAGATTCCAGCAGGGAGCACTTGCTGGAGGAGAGTGGCAACTGCCCCTCCTGGGTGGTCCCAGAGTCCCCACCAACCCTCACATGGGACCTTCTTGAGGTACCTGGTTGCAAAGCCCTTGGCTTTAGTACCTCAGATTAGAGCTGTCCAGCCCAGCCTGCTCTTTCCATGTCCATGATCCTGCAATGCAGGAATCTCTGACTGCCCAGGATCCCACGGTCAGCTTCAAGACCTGCTTTGCTCTTCTGACCAAGTCAATGCTAGAAAAGCCCGGTCAGCAGTGTTTTTATAATCTGGGTCCACACAGGGCACATCCAAGACCTTCTGGGCAGAATGCTATCTGTCACATGCCATTCTGGCCCACCAGCATGTCTTGTGACCCACTGTCTCCATTACCCACCATCCGGGCTGCTGTAAACCAAATGTCCCCACAAGGGAGCCTTTATCTGTGAACATCCTGGAAGCCCCACAGGCCCACATGACCCACATGGCCATGAACCCTCCACCCAGAAAATCAGTAGCCCGGAGCTCATGGTCCTTACTTTAGAGACAGAGTTCACGTTCAGATCCCAGACTGGCTTCTAACTGTCCCTGTGGCCATGGGCATATTTAACCTGCCTCTCCCTGCTTTCTCATATGAACTCTGAGCTCTGAGGGCAAAATGCTTTCATGTGTGTAAGATGCTTAGCATGCTGCTTGCAGAGTAAAATGACATTATCATTGATCACTGTGCAAACATCCACTTACTCTCCTTCCTTGTCTCATTCATCTGGAGTTACACACGGGGGCGGGGCCAAGGGTGAGCACCTCACATCCAGCCTCTCTTGCACGATGCTCACAGCTGCATCTGGAGGTGCTGGCAGGCTGTTACAGACCCTTTGAGCTGCTTTCCCTCCACAGCCCTATTAGAGTAGCTCCTCTTCATCTGTGGCTTAAATCACCCCTGTTCAACTGTAGTCAGGAAATATTAAATGAAAATTCCAAACATAAACAACTCATGCATTTTAAATTGCACACTGTTCCTAGTAGCATAATGGACTCACAAGCAGTCCTGCTCTATCCTGTCTCCATCCAGCATTCTGAGAACCACTATGCATGCTACTCACCCACTGGTCACTGGGCAGCTGCTTTGGTGATTGGGTGAGTAGTTATTTCAGCACCTCTGTTCCGGTGACCCTGATTTCACTCAGTGATGGCCCGAAGAACAGTGATGTATAGGAGGTGCTGTGCATAAAATGTGTAAGTCAGTCGGACCTGGCACTCTATGGGAAGCATAGGGCAGAGAGGAAAGTTCCCAGAGCGTTCTATGCACTCAGTTTCACTGAGACTTTGGAAAGTATCCCCTGTGGATAGGAAGGGATTGTACATAAGTTTTCAGATTCAGTGAATACTCTCCTGGGTTTAAGCCAGGCTTAATTCCAGTCCCCAGGGGATGACATGGATGCTGAGTTCCCCCAGTGAAAAAAACTCTTGTTTATTCTTCCCTGTTTCCTTCACCTCAGCCTCTCGATATCCTATCCCCAAGCCTTCATCTACGTGACAGGCTGCAGAACACATATGCAACCAATAGACTCTGAGGACCAATAACAACATTCCTCCAGGGCTTTATATCCCTCTAACAAGCCCACAATGACTCATTTTTGACAGACAAAGGGAGCGATCGAGAGTGGGTCATCGAACCAGGAAACAGCAGATCCAGGACTCAAAAGTTGGCAGCTGGAGGCAGCGGCTACATTTCTAAACCACTGGCTTCCTCTGCTACAGGGTAAGTGTCCTCAAGGGGAACACCCCAGCATAGCCATGCATGTAGACAACTTTCAAATGTGTTGTGATGCTCACACTCAGAATGGTGCCTATATGAGGTTTGTGTGTTTGTAATACTGCACATTTGTTTCTTGCCTGTTCTGTGTCTCTTTTATTCAAGGTAGTAGTTGGTTGTGGCTCTAGTTTTTCATAATGTGGGAATCCCTGGTCCTTGAAGAAGAATCTACAGTCATACTTTGGAAAACAATTCTTCATGGAGATCAGTAGAGAGCTGCACAATGCAAGTGCCACAAGGGATGAGCTTGTCTTAGCAAGCCACAGACATGACCAAATATTTTGAGGGCCAACAGTGCCATAGTGGAGAACTTAGAGATAAGGTGATATGCTGGCTTTTTTCCTGTATCCTTGTTACTATAAAACATCCAAAGCAGGAGATGTTATCTCCTTCCTCTATCATTCAGTCTGGGAAGGGTCAGTTTTGAGACACTGATCCATCAACCACTTTCTTACAATTTATTTGAAAGGAAGTTGCCTGATGATTTGCTCTTAGGTCTTTCTCTAACTCCGTATGTTCCATATTAGTTCTATTATTGTTGCTATCATAAGCTTGATGGATTGGAGCAACACAGTTGATTATGCTGTAATCTCTGGGTCAGGTGTCTGATATGAACTCACTGGGTTAAAAAGGAGTTGGCAAGGCTAAGCTCTTCTTGGGTCCTGCAGGGAACCTCAGACTCCTGTCCTTCTCCAGATTCTAGAAGTTCCACAGTTTCTAACTCATATACCTTCCTTCATCTTCAAGGCCAACCAAGGCTGATTGGCTGTCACATGACATCAGTCAGATCTCTGCTGCTGGCATCCCTTCCGCCACCTTGGGCTACGTTGGGCCTCCAGATGATCCATAATCATCTCCCTATTTTAAGGCAGTTGATTGGCAGCTCTAATTCCATCTACAATCTTAACTCCGCTTTGCCACATGACAAACGTATCAGTCTTTACCTATTAATGAGAAGCACTGAAAAAGAGAAAAGTAGAAACAAAAATTTAAAATTACCTTTAGCTAGCTGGGTTTGGTGGTTTATGCCTGTAATCCCAAGATTCAGGACAAGTTCAAGATCAGCCTGGGCTGCAAAGTGAGCTCAAGGCAAGCCCAAACGACATACTGAGACCCTATCTCAAAAAACCACATAAACATGCCTGCACGCGCGCACACACACACACACACACTACCTGTAGTTACCAACTATGTAAAAATCTTCAAAGATAAACCTTATAAATGTTGAAATATTTATTTTGTCCCTCCTGCTATCCCTGTCTTGCATTTCTATTTCATATAACTCTATCTAAAACGATGACAATTCTCTTAATCCTCCATGTGATATTTTCCTTTATTTTAAACATAATATTCCTCATGATCAACAAACTCTTTTGCAACATCACTTTTAAATTATGCCTTATGGGCCAACGGTTAGCTCAGCATCATAAGTGCCTCCCTGTCAAGTGCTAGGCTGTGAGTTTGATCCTCAGCACAGAAAAAAAAAACATTTCTTATTAGTGATGCAATAACTTTTGTCGTAACACTTGAGACATAATGGGAAAAACATTGATTTTAAATAACTGGCTTTTAAGTATGAATTTTTACAAGACCATTTCGTACTTTTTAATTAAAATTGCATCATAAACAGTTTCCTGAATCATAAAAGATTATTTTACAGCCCCAGGTGGTGGTGTTCGGGAGTGTCCTGATTGACATTTGTGGGGTTTTGGTTGTGGCACATGTACCTGTGTATGTTGGCTCTTATGGAGTTAAATAAATGCTCTGCCGTATATACTAAGTGTTATTTCCCTGTGTTTAAGACATTTTTATGCTAACACTAGACATTTAACTGAAAGATGATGTAAGAGCACAGACAGATTCAGGCTTGTCATGCTGCCCTTCAGAACACAATCGAGCCTGCTCGCATTGCTGACTTTGGTTTGTAAGTTTGGTACTTTGGGGTTTGGTTTACTGGACATTGCTCTCTGTGTGCACTTACATCTTTCTCCGGAGGAATTTTGCCCTTTTGTCTTGGCCCGGGGTCGCAGATGGCACTAATCCTATTCCTGGGGACTCTGCCTTTCTGACCTAATCACTTTCCACAGGCTTCACTTCCAAAAGTCACCAGCACACGGCCTATGCTTTTAACACATGAGCTTACAGAGCTGCAAACAGACCATCATGGGCTCAGTAATGCCCTAGTGTCTCTTGGCAGCTTGTTTGAATTAGGGATCGGTCACCTTGAAGATCCAGGTAAGAAGCTGAGTCTGGGGAACATTGACAAGGTTGACAAGTCATGGAGGTGATGGGGTTGTGGTGTGCCCTGGTAGTACCAGGATAAGGACAGCCTGTGGAGGACAGAAAGGCTTTGAACAGGAAGTACTCTGAGAGCGCTGTGGAATTCCTTACTCTGTTGCCTAGGAGGACGTGGCACCCTTCATGAAACCCTCTAAATCTACCCAACTGTTCCACCCTGACAAAGTGAGGGGGGACCACGGACTGATAGCAAGAGCAAAGAAAAGATGTCTTTGTTCAGGCCAAAAGCCTTCTGTGAGAGGTCACATGGCCCTGTGCAAGTGACCACCGGATGCCTGGTATGCTTGTGAAAAGCAAGGCGGCTGGGACAGTCGAGGCGAGGATGCATGGTGCATAGATGTCCCTCAGTGTCTGGGGTGCACTCACTGATGACAGTTTTGTCCACTACATCTGGAGCCACAGGAGGTCTGACTGAGGAGTGACATGACCATGGTGGCCATGATGCCTGGGATAGGTGGAAGAGACCACTTTGAGTTATTGCCAAAATTCAGATGAGTGATGGGGGTGGCTTGGGTTGTGTACATCACTCCCCCAAATCAAAAGGGCACATTCTAAAGCAGAATAGTTGGGTACAAATGCAAGTGAGCTCTTGCTAATAAGATATTGGTGTGCAGCCTAATTGCCATGGGAAATATTCCATACCAGCCACCTGCTGAGACTTCTCTTAATGCTAGGGGCAAGAACAACCTGAATTCTGCCTTTCCAAAGCTAACGGTGTGGTAGGATGATCGAGAAATAAATAGTCAACCAAAATGTAGCCACAGCAGCAGCATTATAATCACTGTATAAATGCAGAAGCATTGCCAAAAAGCCATGTTTACTATGTGCACCATAGAGAAGCACTAGGAGATACAATATAGAGTCATAGGCGGTGATTACAGTTATTGTGTTTTGATGTTCTACTTTATAACTAAGATACACTGCCACCTCATTAGACAACTAGTATTGAAATACCTAATATAACCACTGTGTCCTGTAATCCAGTAGCATCAAAGGCTTTGCCCCTCTAGTTCCTACCTAAGCCCACCTCGAAAAATGTACATTTTGCTTTTCCTTAAAGCCACTGTCTGTCTCCTGCTTTCTCAGCATATTTAAGTCCTCTCTCCATGTTCTCTGTCCTCTTTATCACCTGCTATGCAGAAGGTTCAACTGACCCCAGGATGGCCCCACCAAAACTGCACATGCTTTTCTGCCTCTCTGGATTCCTGGCACTGGTCCACCCTTTTGACCAGCGAGACATAGATCCTGTTACTTATGTCCCATCATCAGGTAAGAGAACCTTATCTCCAGGGCTCAAACTGTCATCAGCTCAAAGCAACCTCAGCAATGTTTGGGCATCTCTAAGCAAGTCCTATTAAGAAAGAGTGGTAGGCTCTTTGGTTCTCCTGAAGTTGGGAGGGAGACCCTCTTAGTCCTCTGTATAGCTGTGTTCTTCAGGGTCACTACCACAGGACAGAACTGGGGTGAGGCAAGAGGTAAGGGTCTTGAAACACAGGTCTAGTACTGGTTCTTAGTGGAGCCCAAAGTGAAGATTTGATGATTGGGATCTAAAAAGATATGACCTTTTCTGCCTAAGAAAAGGGAGGCTTGAACCTTGGGAGCTCTCAGCAGAAGAGACAAAGTCACTTGTCTCCTACCTTCGGGTAAGAAGGGGAAAAAAAGAAGGAAATTCCACCAGCCAGGAGGAGTAGCCAGAGCAGGATACCTCTCATCATCTCTCTGTCACCAAAAGATTCTACTGCAAAGAGCTTGCACTGTAGCTTCGTGACGCCCTGCTCATCCCAGGCATTGTGAGTGTGGTCCTCTGCCTGGCTCCTCGGGAGAGCAGGAAGCTGGGTTGCGAAGCTGTTGCCTGTCACAGACCCAGGTCTGTGCATGTGCCTAGGCCGAGTCACCAGATCTGTTTGTACAGGCTCCACAGCTGATGGCTATTCACAGCATTCTTATATAACATGGTGCCCTACTTCGTCATAAGGGAAATGAATACCAAGGACGAATGGGCCTATAGTTTCTGTGTACATCAGTGTCTCCAGGGTCCATTCTCCACTCAGCCTTTACCAACAAGTTTAGACATTTAGGATATGCAAGTAACTATGACCAAGTAATATAGTCAAGGAATCTGGGGCCTTGTAAATTTAAGTCCGTGTGAATCACGGGTTGAAGACATAGCATTTTACTCAATGATAAGAAAAATCTCGGCCAGGGACATTTGTACCATTCAGTTGTTTTTAGTTCAGGGTGTGAATGTCAAGACATGCATCCTATCCCTTCATATTTAAAGATTACCAAGCTGGCAGATACTTGAGGACAGGGACATTGATTTATTCCTCCTGCAGCCCAAAGCCTCCCCTTTTTAAGAGCTCTGAAGGGATACACACACATTTTAAAAATTATTTTAATAATTTATTAAATAAAAGATTCAAATAATAGATGATTTTTTATAAATTCTTTTTAACTGAATACCTAGAAAATATAGCAGTGAAGGTAAAATTTTTTCTCAAAATATTTTTATTTTAAAGTGAATAAAACAAAACAAAACAGAACAAGGCAAATCAGAACAGAACAATGCAAACAATACAAAACTACACAAGACAATAGAACATCAACAGTGGTTACCATGTCTCTTGTTTTCTTCAAAATAGTTGACCATAACTTTGCATGTAATAATATCAAACATAACAAAATAGTATAAAATCATTCCAAAGAATTAAATCATTATGGTCTTGAAAACCAGATAACAGGAAATGGACAATGGCTAGTTTAATATCTCATTTTCCTCAAAAAAGTTCTCCATCCCATCACACATAATAAAATCAAATAAAACACAACAGGATAGAGCCAATCAAAGCAGAAGAACAAAAGCATGATAGGACTTCAAACGAGGTAATAGGAAAACAGCAATGGCTAGTATAGTCTCGTTTTCTTTAAAATAGCACTTCATGCCATCACAAATAATAAAATCAAATGAAACCGAATAAAACCAACTAAACAAATGAAAACATTAAAAGACTTCAAAACAATATAATAGGAAACTGTGATTACCATAATATAATCCATTATATTTAAAATAGCTGCCCCTACCATCAGACAGAGTAAAATCTAACAAAACAAGACAAACAAAGCCAAACCTCACAAAATGGTGAAAACAATACAAAAGTTCAAGACCAGACAATAAGTAACTAACAGTAGTTACGACATTTCCCTCCCAGGTGTTTTCTCCCCATCACTCTTACAACAACTATTTTGCTTTTAGATCCCATCAATTCCTTCTGTGTCTTCTGCTAGGGTTCACGTATATGAGTTCAAACTCTTGTGCCCATGAACATGACCTCCAGTTGCGTCCATTTACCTACAGGAGCCTTGAGATTATTCTACTCTATAGCTGGGTAGTTTTCCACTGCATGAAAATACCATATCTTTTTTTATGCATTCTATAGTTGGTGGCCAAGTTATTCTTGCTATTTTTCTGGTTTCCTGTCACATGGAACAATTGTTTTCTCTCCTTTGATTTTCAGTCTATAAATTTCCTTTCCAGTTAAATGTGTTTCTTGTATACAGTATATCGATGGATCTTGTTTCTTGATCCACTCTCCCTGCATTTCTTTTCATTGCTGACTAAATACCATCTATGTTATTGGTTACAACCAGCATACTTTGGTTTGCCTCTATCATGCTGTCCTGCTGTTGGCCCTCCACATTTCCCCTTCATTCAATTGCCTGTCTTGATTGGTGATCCCCCTCTGCTGTTGTTCTTGGAGCCATGGTCATCTTTATCTCTCTCTAGAATATCCTTTAGAAATCTCTGTAGGTTTGGTTTGGTAGTCTTGAATTCTTTCAATTGTTCTTCATCATGGAAGTACCTTACTTTTCTATCAATTTTGAAAGATAGTTTTGCAGGGTACATCAATCTAAGTTAAAAGATGTTTTCTTCCAGAGTTTGAAACACTTCACTCCAAACTCTTCTTGACTTGATAGTTTGTGTTGATAAGTCTGCTGTGATTCTGACTGATTTTCCTTTACAGATGATCTGTTTCTTTTCTGTAACAGCTTTTAATATTCTGTTCTTGTGCTGAATTTCTGGGGTCCTGATTATTATATGCCTAGATGTAAATTTACTTTGGTTATGGATAGTTGGAGTTCTATATGCCTCACTTAATCTGCATGCCAGGTCCATTTACCATGTCTGGGAAGTTTTCTTCTATTACTTTTGTAAATAGCCTGTTAATTTCATTTGTGTTGACCCTTGCTTCTTCACGGACACCTATCATTCTTAAATTACGCTTCTTTGTGTTGTCTGGCAACCATTATTTCCTGATTCTGAGTTATTTAAGAGAACTTTCCTTTCATGATCACTAACTAGAAGCTGATTTTCAAGGTTTAAAAATCATTCTTCAGTCTCTTTTTAGCAGTTTTGCCAGCTTTTGATTGAATTTTTAATTTCCTGCATCTCTCTTTGAATCTGTTTCATGCATTGTAATTTCTTTCCATAGTCAGTCAAGGTTTTAATCATTTTCCTGTGCTTCTCTTTTTGTCTATGTCTAGACATACTGAGAAATTCTTTCAGTATGTTTGTGATTTCTTCTTTTACCTGAGACATTATTTCTGATTTGACTGCTTTTACAATCTCATGAAGTTGTTTCTTTATTTCAGTTGCTATCTCTCAGAGATTTCCCACACTTGTTCTGTGTAGTCTGGAGGTTTGAAATTGGCTTTTTCTCCTTCATTTTGATATTCTCCTGGGTTCCTCACAACCAGCTGGTTGTAGGGTCCCAGGCACTTCCCACATTGGCTGCCCTTCCATGGCATAGGGTGATGGGACATGCACCTGAGTTCCTCATGCACCCAATTTACATGGAGGTAGCAGGCCATGGATTTCTCCAGACCTGTGCAGGATAAATTTGTTTTTAACATGGGGTTTATGAAATGAGAGATGTTGGTTGCTAATGGAGAGCATGAAGCCATGTAAAAGAACATAATTTTCCTAACATGTGCATAATGGATTGGCAGACTGAGTTTCAGGAATATTGGACAAATGAACATCACCAAAAATAAATAATGAGATCAACAGCACAATGTAGGTTCCAAAAATCCTCTTCAAGATGGTTCCTGATGGATGACAGGTGCAAGCAAGCACTGGGGCCCAGAACTGGTGATTGCAGGCTGCTGAGCCTCCTCTGTAGCACCCCCAGCCCTGGGGAGCCACAGGAGCCTGTAGACTCCTCTTGATGCTTGTGTCATCCCCTTACTTCCTTAGACTATGTCACGGTCCAGTTGTCCTGATGTCACCTTGACCTGAGTGTTTGTTGCGGGATGGCACCACTCAGGGATAGCAGGCTTGGGGAAAGCAAAGAGCATTCTCAGGTAAATTGGAAAAGGCCCTCGGGCCTTGGGGGAACCCAGGTCTGATCAGAGGAGAAGTCTGCCTCTGTAGCATGGTACCTATCTGTGTCTCTTGAGCTGGTTCTAGAAGGAATGTATACCCTGAATCCTAAGAGCCTGCAGGCTGCCAATTTGGTCCATCTATGGCTCAGCTGTCTGTGGGTGGCTCAGCACCTCAGAGGGACTCATGACAGATGGTAAGGCAGCTGTCACCTCTCTGCTATCCTCTGGATAGCAGAGGACCTGTCCCTGCTGCACCATGAATGGTTCCATAGTCTTATAATCCTAAATAGTCCCAAACTGTTCTCCTGCCAGAAGAGGTAGGAATATGAATCAGTGACACAATGCCATGAATTTTAAACTTGTTCTGCAGGGAAACGGATGTTGTTGTTTAGATCTATATTGATCTCTGGATTCTCCCAAACACTGCACCTTAGTTTGGCTCTCGAAGGAACTTCCTCTGGGGAAGGAGACAAGGATGCCATCTGGCTACCTCTTGCATGTCATGTCCTGTGCTGGTGCTAGACCTTCATGTCACTTCCTGCTTTCAGCTATCGTGCAAGCTGGCTCAGTGCTTTCCTCACTGCCTCCTCAGATCCAACCCATCATCCACTTTGGGCTACTGTGCTCTATAGCACCCAGATGGCTGGTGCTGGAGAATGATGATGCTTAAAATTTAATGAGACTTTCCTGGCCCTTTTCTGGTTCTGTAGCAGGGAAGGTACCTGGAAGCTGCATTTCCAATTTTGGCTGGTCCAGTGAAGGTGGCTGTAGGCCACACTTATTGTCAAACAGGCCTTCTTTGCTGGACAGCTCTACCTTAGACAGATGATTCAAGTCTGAGTCACCAGGGCAGAGAATGGACAGACATATCCCTGCGATGCCACGATTTTCTGAGCTGTGTCTGAGGATGCAACTGCAGTAGCAAGAGAGCTCTGCGTGTGAGAGAGAGTTGAAAATCACAATTTTAATATTGTGTGACAAGAAGAAGTGTTATATGTATCTAACTAATCGCATATCTCTCTATCTACATTTACCCACCTATTTATCTTTACATATTTATCTCAGGAATTTATCATTCATCTGTGGATCTCATTTGTCTATCATCTCTCTATTTTGTATATCTATTATTTACCTCTAATAAGAGTTTTCCACTGACACATTAAGCACTGCCCATGATAGCTACTAGAGCAGTGCAGAGACCTCAGCAGCCCAGCATGAAGGAGGGAGCTCATGCAGGCAGAGAGGTGACAGAAGACCTCTGGGCCTCAGGCATCAGCACACTGAGTAACTGTCTTCTGGCACAGGGACTTGGAACTTACTTGGGCACCTATGAGCAGCCCCGGATTTCTACCCTGAGCACCACAATGAGGAGCCATGTTTGTGCCTGGGCTCAGCACACTTGCTGAGAGGGCATGTGTAGACTTAATGCCTCCTGCAAACTCCCTTCTAAGCTGGCCCTGTTATTCTCTGCTTAGAAGCAGATGTGGTGGGGCTGGGGATTTAGCCCAGCGGCATAAGCACCTGCCTTGTAAGCAGGCGGTCCTGCGTTCGATCGCTGGTACCAATAAAAAGTTTAAAAAAAAAAAAAAGAAGCAGATGTGGTGATTGAGAGCCTTTGCAGAATTTTAAGGATCCGTGAGATTTGTGCACTAAGTTCTTCCAGGAGCTGGGTATAGGAGGCATTTGAAGGGGCCAGGTCTGAGTGCACAGGTGACTAGAAGAGCAGCAGCCACCTGGTCCAGAGACACAGACGGCACAAATCAGTCTGCTGAGCTGACTTAGAGACACAATGGGAAGGTAATTCAAAGTTACAAACACTTGTTAGAAACTGAAATTCAGTTAACATAGAGGGTTGATGAAAAAGAGATAGGAGAGAAGGATGATTCCCAAGCATCCAGCTCGAGATGCAAGAGACAGAATTCTGGAGTTGTGGGCTGTGTGGTGGGAGAGTGAGGGGGAGGTGTGATGATCATCAGTCTCACTTTGTAGCATTGGCTTTGCGGCTGCTAGAGGAAAGGCATCAGTTAGAAATGCCCAGTGAGAAGCTGTGCGCACAAATCTGAAATGTGAGGTAAAGCTCATGTTTAGGAAAAACAGCCTAGGAGAGTCACCTTTAGTGTACTCTGGACAGAGTGGAGGGTAAGAAGAGTCAGCATTAGGAGGTGGTGACACAAGGAATTCTCAGAGACAGAACCTGTCTACCTCATGGTGTTTATTCCCCAAATTGCTATTCCATGCACTGCACACAGCAGGTCCTCAATTAGGTCAAAACTGCAAGAGGCCAGAAACTGGGCGCCATGGCTTGATTCCCTTGGAAGTCCTTAAAGAATGACTCTGGAGTGCATAGAGTGACAAATGTGGCATCACTGACCTGTTTTTCAGCATGGACCCAAAGAACACAATCAGAGCTGCTCACTACCAGCTTTGGCCACACAAAAATCCCCAAGGGAAGTGGACCTTACTCCGTGGGTTGTACAGACCTGATGTCTGGTTACACTAACCAGGTAATGCTTTCATTGCTTCAATTTATCTTTCAACCCTAATACTGACCTTCTCTTGTGATAAAATTCCCCTTACTCTCACCTAGGAATGACTCCGTCTGCCATGTCTGATGCTTCTTTCCGTTTCCTTGCTGTCATGTGATTGCTTGGTCTATAACCTCTTTTACTTTTCCTCTTTCATGGCTGAGGCATGCTTTCTTCACGCTCAAAGACTAGTTCTTTTGTACTTCTTGATTATATTTGATCATCACAGCATTTTAAAATGTCTCTGAACATCTTTAGGAATGGTAGACATATTTGAGCCCCACTAATAAAATATGCAACACAATTGTTGGGGTGCATTTCAGAAGGAACAAGACTGAAAACAGACTCATTTATTTCATCAACAGAGCAGCTTTCTGCGATTGTATTATCCATCACAAGATAACGATTTCCCTGATGCCCTGTGGATCCCAAATGAAGAGTATTTCCGGGGTATTAGTGAAGTCTTTGAATCATCTAGTTTCCTGGGCAAAGTTTTGAAGTTGTTATATGGTAAGATTTCTGTTGGTCTGTTGGTGAGTTCTGTAGGCTCTAAAATAGAGAAACCAAGGACAAGAATCTCTGAGAGTAAAGAGCAAAGCAGATTTTCTCCAATTTAAATTTCTCCTAAAATGACATGGTCAGCATTTCTCAGGAGCCCAGGCATCTCTGAGAAAATCCAGGGTTCTCAGTGCATCCATCAGGAATTCACTGGGAGTGGATGAGACATCAGTCTGGCACTCGTGCCTTTCCGTGGTGGCTGCTTAGATTTTCTTCTGAGAAACAATGGGAGGAGCAACAAACTAGTCAGAGAAGCAGGTTTGCTGAGGTAACTATTAAGCCATATGGATCAGGCAAAAAAAAAAAAAAAAAAAAAGGAAAGAAATTAGAAGCTACTGTCACCCTGCAGATCAAAACAAAACAGTCAAAGCTCATTTCCCACTTGACACAAATGTGGAGACTCGAACCTTCCTGTCTCCAACCCCAAGGGACCAGCAGCCACTCTTGCACCATTTCAGTACATGCATCATGAGTTTGTCCGCCTGCCTCTTTCATAGACCTCCCTTTCCTCATCTGTGTGACCAATAGTACACTGGGAGGATGGTAACTCTATCTTCAAAATTCTCCCTCAGAATGACCTGAAACTTTTGGAATTTATTTTAACTTTCCTTTAGAGTTCTCATAAGAACTGCTTTAGTGTAGAAATGGTGACAGTACCCTAACTACACATATTTACATTGCCAGATAGTTTCCAAATCGCCACTGTAGCAATCCTCATGGCCACATCTCATTTTGTAGGAGAGGAAACAAAACACAAACCCTTAATAATAAAAATTGTGATTACAAATGAGCAGTAATGGGGATGAGATTCTCTATTTATTGAGCCCCTGACTATGTGACTAGATGCTTTATATATATTTAACCTAATTAAATAGAATTTTAACAAAAACTCTATGAGATAGTTCTCATTTTGTCCTTTTTGTAGAAAAGGAATGTGGAGCCCAGAGAATTTGAGTGACATGCTCAGGGTCAACAGCTAGGAAGTGGCAGAGCTGTGACCAACACCACCCTCTGCATGAGGGCAGTGGACTTTCTGGCCTGTGTCAGAGCATGGTGACTCATAGCAAGAGCAGGCTCTGATTCCCAGCTTTTTCTTCTCAGTGGAATGTTCCTGCAATTTATTGGATAGGTTGGTTTTAGAACACTGTCTCTCACATGCTTCCCAAGTCTCAAAATGGTCCTAAGTAGCAAAGCAGTAAGCAATTAACTCCTCCACTCTGAGTTGAGAGCCTGCTTTGAGAACTGTAATTAATGACTGTGTGGTGTGAGGTGGGCACATGATTCACTCTTTGATTGGTGATGATCCAGTAGCTGACACTTGAATGCATTTGCTATTAATCTATGAAAACATATGTGTAGATGGTTCAAGGTTTTATGTTTTAAATGACAACATTCAAGGCTTGGAAAATGCTGATCGATTTCCTCTGCTGCGTGTAGGCTCAGTGAAGGTTCCTGCAAAGTGGAATTCTCCTCTGAAGACCGGTGAAAAATACCCACTAATTATCTTTTCTCATGGTCTTGGAATATTCAGGTAATATTGGGGAGGTCAAGCAGTTTTAGCTTCTAGCAGTCTCTGAATACATTGTTTTCACCCAGAAGGGAATTATAGCTATTAGAATCAGACTTCTAATCACGCCTAGTAATTTTGATGCTTCTCACTTTTTGTTTTGAAGGACAATTTATTCTGCTATTGGCAAGTTGCTACATGTGCCTAGCACTGTTTCCACAAATAATGCTTTATCTGATCACACCCCACACACTGGATTTCACACTCTCTGTCACTACCTTTGTACTACAACAGCAGAGGTGTGTAGCTGAAACATAGGCTGCCCGGCCCACAATGCTGTAAGCATTGAGTCTCTGACCTCAGAGAGAGCTTTGTGATTGCTCCGTTGACTGCTTCCCACAGCACGGCCCTGTGTCTCTGGGAGTGGATGAGTAGTTCTCAGATGCCTCCTTTTATTCTCTTCAGACATTTTCTGCTGCACGCATGATGGGAGAAGGGGGCTGTGCAAAGGGGAAGGCGTGGAGGAGGGTTAAGCTTGCCTGATTCTGTGCAGCTTCATGCAGGCACAGGGTGTGTGGTAGCATCACTTTAACATTCCCTGAGTTAAACAGTTTGAAAAAGGAAAGGTTTATTTTGCCTGATGGTTTCAGAGGGCTTCCTTGTAGGCTTCTTTGCTTTTAGACCTGAGATGGGTGTGGCAGAGGAAGGTGCTCACTTCATGGTAACCAGGAAGCAGGGAGCACGGGGTGGGGAAGAGCCAAACAGGAAGGCGTGCAAATAAGATTTAGCCCCCAAGTTCTGGTCCTATGACTATTTCCTTCAACCAGGCCTCAATGCCATCACTTCCAATGATGCCATCAAATGCTGACTCCATCAGTGGATGAACCCACTGATGAATGAATGCCCTCATGACCCTATGACCTTCCAAATCCACCTCTAACACTGCTGCCCTGGGAACCATCTTCTGACACACGAACCTCATGGGGAGCAGTTTAGATCCCAACCCTAACCTTCTGCGCCTAAGGAGGAATGGTGGCACAGAAAGGGGAGATTATTTTAAAATCTTTCCACTCTATGTTGTGCTTATGATTTGCACTGGAAATCTTGCTTAAACCCACACCACCACCAGAATGCTGTTCTGTGGTGAAATCTCCTGCACCAGATAAGCTAGTCCATCACCCCCAAGCTTACTCAAAGTCTTCAGGTGTGGACAAAAGCTAGACCGGTTCTTTGCCAAAATGCACCTCAAAAGGCCACTAGTCCAACTCCTAATGGAATCTTCATTTCCTCTGAAACCTCCAAAATTATGAGTCAAAATGACCTTTCTTCAGAGTCGTCATTCCCAGGTATTTTGTCAGACCCAAGAAAGCTGACCAGCAGGGCGTACTGAGGATGCATCCGCTCATGCGATCCTTGCCAATGGGGTACCGCACTCTATAGCATCACCTGTGTACAGAGAAGGAGCATGGCAGAGAAAGCATCACTGCCTGCCTGAGCTGCATAGCTAAAAAATTCAAATTCAGTGGTCAGCCTGAAGCCCCAGTCTCTGACTCCCTACCTTCCTACAGACACTATCTTGTTAAACTCTTAATGCCATTCTAGAGGTTCAGTCATTATCTGAAATTATGGCTGAGATTAGAAGAATTGAAAACCCAAAACTCTCAAAGGCAATAAGTATAATCACTCTGCCAGCAACTTCCATATTATTGGTGCTCATCTCCCAGTCAGCAGGAGAATAGTAAACAAGAGACATGGAGGGGATACATCAATCAAGGGTGCAAATTTTTTTTATCATTAAAGAAGTATTTATTGAAAGAAATAGCCATATTTTGAAAAGCAGCAATGAATAGAATCAAAATTTCTGTGCTAAAACAATTAAGAAGGTAGTATAGTTTAAAGTGTTCAGAAAAATAATTTACTGTACATTTGACATGAAATAGTGACAGAAACAAAGATAACACCAAACTGATTCTATAGCAGTACAGTGAGTCATCTTTATGACAAAGTGATTATTATCAATTGAAGAAGTATTGAAATTACTCTAAAATTGAATTTCCTGAAAATTTATAACTTCTATGTGTTAAGAAGTTTGTAGATGCTCACAAAAGTTTTTTTGTATTCCAAAAGATCCACATTTACACTGAAGTGCAAGAAACTTTTCTAATCCATCAATACAATAAGCAAACACCAAATTCCTTAAGAACGTATGCTGCAATAATAAATGATTTCTCTTTTCTGTTTAGAGAATCATTGCTATATAGATATTCATGAATATACAACAAAAAAGGAAGAAATAAAGGAACAATATAAGGGGTGACACAATAAAAGACAGTATGATTTTCTTAGATTCTATAATACTTGTGTTTTAACAGCAATTTTAAAATTTTTGTGATTTTCTAATTTAAAAGGAATATATAATTATAGTTATTATTGTTGTTATTATTACAATGGTGGAAGTTGAACTCAGTGTCTTGCATATGCTAGTCAAACACTACCATTAAGGTACAGCTCAGTTCCAGAATTACTTTTATGTGTAATTATATTTCAGTTGATATTATTCACTTTTTAAACAAAAACTTCAGGACCTAGGAACCTAGTTTCATCTCAGGTGGCTCCATGCTCTTTTGTACATGAAGTCTATCTGTAGTTCCATGATGCTACAGTCCTCCACTGCATCAATGAAGACTTCCTTGACAAAATTCAAATCCAAAGTTTGTTCTTACTACCTTCCATTGACCTCTATCCTTTTTCCCTATTGACACTTTTTTCCTAGCACTTATCATTTTCCATATAATGTGATATCATTATGGGACATTCATTGATTGTTTTGCTGTAGCTGTAACTCCTCATTCTAGAACTGTACCAACCCTTTACACCATCAGAAAAAGTGCATCTGTAGCATAGTGATTATATATATGTATGTGTATATAATTCATATACATGTGTGCACATATTAATGTATATCCTGTTGTACTCTTTTAGTATGATATGAAATATGGGGTTCATGTCAGAATTGCAATATAGAAAATTAATATCTAGTAAAAGTTTTTAAATATTATTAAATAATTATATATTACCCAGCTATTACCTATAAAGTAGTATGCTAGACCCTTACTTAAACATGAAGAAAAGGTAGGACTTTTAGAAATATTTTGAGCCCTAAACATTGACAGCATTTTATAGATAACAAAACCACACATTATCACCACATAGAAATCAAAGATAGGAAAGTTGATGTGCATTGAGACCATAGTAATAATTCAGGCACAGAAGGTTAAATATTATATACCTTGTCTCCCATGAGAATTCAAAAATATAAAAGTTTAAAGAGCAAATACAAATGGATAACAGGAAACAGAGAGTACTACTATGTGGAAACGAAAGGGGGACCTGTGGCTGAAGAGAAATGAGGTAGAGAAGGAAAGGGTATATAAAAATGACTGTAGAAGGTATCCTAACATACTAATAAGAAAAGTTAAGAAATGATAGGATTTCTTATTGTTTGTTTTGTTGAAATTACGTATTAACTGTTTTTTTTCTTTTTTACTCTTTAAATAAAAAAAATTTAAAAAGAAATGATAGGAGTAGAACTCTGTAACAGTCTGATTTCTTTATTGCATAGAAATGATTTGAAATTCATTTTACTCAGCCAGACTCTACTTTTAAAAGAATTATTTAATCTAAATACAGCTCCTTCGTACTGCAAATTTCTGGTAAGGAAGTTTGGGAAAATTATACAGTTTCATTGGTGCCATGTCCGGAAACCTAAGTTTCTAAAAGACCAATACATGTGAGCCATATTACTTTAAATATGGAATGAGTAAATCAGAGTTATTTTTTCCTATTTAATATTCTAAGTGAAATATCATGAAGTTGTAGAATATTTTTAAATGTTTCTAATAGTTTGATATTACAACAGCTCTATTTCTTATTTAAGAGCACTGATTATGTCATTATTGATCAATTTATTATTGTTGACCTTAGTTCACTAAACTAGGGTTTCATATACTCTGTTCTCTGTTCACATTTTCAAGGTACTCTTTTGCAAGAATGCAGAAATTTACAGATACTAAGATGGTAATTGTAAAATTCAATATCTAATGATAAATAATAACCTTATGGGATATTACTTTTTTGTGATAGTAAAATAATTCAGTTTTGAATACCAGATATCACAAGATATATTTTCCTTATCCATAAATTGAGCTCAATCATGAAAGAGGATGCCAATTTTGATATCTGGTTTTCAATGTTGATTATTTTCCAGTTACGTCATATTTTCAGAGAAAGATTGTATTGGGGTCAGCTCGCTGTCCCACGCATTGGGGAGGTTTAGCAGAGTCCTTTACTCATTAGAGGCCCATGGTACCATCCCCCTGATGTGATCATGGAATCCCCTCCCAGCATCATCAAATGTACCCCTGGGGCAAAGTTAGGCCCCTTTGCAGACCAGAACTCTCCACTACCTCAAGCACTGACCACAGAGGCATAATGCCATCCATGTTCACAATTTTCTTAGCACACTCAGACTTATAATCATGCCGAGTAATACGGAGACTTCTTTTTATTTTGAAGGACAATGTATTCTGCTATTGGCATTGAGCTGGCTTCTCATGGGTTCATAGTTGCTGCTGTAGAACACAGGTATGTTGTGTAATGGGGCTGGATTCTTTTGTCCAATACACAGAATGTGGATACCCATAATTATGCTTGTAGCTGCTGTACAAGTTTATAAAAACTGTTTATGGAATTTCCAGCTATGCTGAGAATCAAAGGAGACTAGATAAGAGTGTGAAAATTTAAGAAACAGTCTTTGAACAGTGTTTATTGTATGCTGTGGACCCAGGTTGGTATATTTCATACACCATCTCATTTATTTAGTCTCGACTACAGTGCCAAAAGACTGCTGTTATTACTGTTGTTTACGGGGGAGGAAAATGAAGGTGAGAAAGGTAACTTGTCACTTTAGAAAGATTAGGAAATACTACAAGGGAAGTGATTCCAGAAATGAGTTTTCAGTGTGGTTGACAGTGCCTCCTAGAATTTTGAAGACAGGATGAGTTTTTCTCCGCAAGAGACAACAAATTGTTTTCCTACTGTTCCTCTGGAAGCCTCTAATTTAAAATGAGATGTAGGGTCGGAGAGGAAAGAAAAGAAATAAGAAAAGTGGAAAGATTGGGGAACTGGAACCAAGCCTGGAGCAGAGGAACGGAGGTCACACAAGGACCTAAGGTCCTTTGAGAGCAACTGAGGCTGCTTCTGTTACAGAGATGAATCTGCCGCTGCCACTTACTACTTCCAGGACCCGTCCGCAGCACAGTCAGGGAACAGGTCTTGGATCTACTACAAACATCAAGAACCAGAGACGGAAGAGCGAAAAACGCAGGTAAGAGGCCAACTGCATCGTTATGGAAGTGAGGCACGAGAGGACTGGGTACAGGGACAAAGGGTGACCTCTGTGCATCTATGCTGACACACAGAAAGCGATGCTCCCAGCCTCCTACTCCCGTGCCCAAAAGATCTGGCAAAAGAGCATCCAAGGATAAAACCCCTTCATGAAATATTGGTTCACTATAAAAGCAAAGCCAAACACGAGTCCTGTGACGTGAATGAGAGTATTCAGAATGCTCTTGTATCAAAACTGATAATTTGAGAATCTCAGAGTGATAGAGCACAGATTTCTCCAACCCCATGGCGAGTATAAATAGACTTCTTTTCAGATAAGCAGCATATAGGTGTACCCAGAATCCAACTGTCTGTCTGGCATGAGGAGGCCCCACCCATGGCAGTGCAGTGACCTTAGAGAACCTGACCTCCCTGTGCTCCGGTGTTTTACCTGTTAGCGCACAGTGAGTGGTAACAGCATCAGTCTTGCAGGGCTGAGGGGGAATCGTGGGAAACAGAGCACACTGACTGCTTCTCTATCTCCTGGCTCTTTGCAAGTGGTGTGGTGTTTAAGCTCACTCACATGTCATTTGGGTAGGTGCTAGTGGACAATGAAATGATGCCCAGAGAGGCTGTGTGAGTCATTTATGGTCACAAATTGGTAACCAAGAGAGGCAAGGTTTGAGCTGAGCTTCACCTCCCTGCAAAGTGGATTCCGACCACTTTTCATGAAGACATTGCTAGTATATAACAGACTGACTGTTACCCCTTGCTGAACTCTAGAATAACTGACACAATGATGGGCTCTGTCCCTTTTTTTTGTAATAATCCTATCAGTTACGGCAGCGAGGAGAGGAGTGTTCCCAAGCTCTCAGTTGGCTTCTCAGCATTGACGAAGGAGAGCCAGTGAAGAACGTGTTGGATTTGAAGTTTGACATCCAGCAACTGAAGGTGAGCTTTGAAAGTCACTTTTACTTTGCCCCATTGTTCATTCTTATTCTTTGATGTGTGACTTCCTGTTATATTGCAAGGTTGGCACAATAAAGTGTTGCAATACACACAGCACTGATGTCCACATGTGCAACACACACACACCCCACACAGGTTAAAGTGACAGCAATGATGAATGCATGGATTTGAACTGGAAATGAAATTGGTAATAGTTTGAGACTAAAAACTGGCAGTTTCCTTATGGTTTGTCTTCATCCTAGCAGGGAAAATATTGTTCCTTTGTGGACAGATCCAACATGATTTTAAGCTTCATCTTCAAAAGTTGGCCAATATTTTAGATAAAATTGCCAAAGATGGTGGAGAAATATCAGGCTGGTGGGGAACAGGGAGTGGAGGGAAGGAGGTGTCACTTGGGTGTCAGGTGTGATGATGGGAGCTGTCCTCAGGGGACAAGAGTGAGCTGTCCCCAGCTGGTTCTCTCCCTTTTCCATGCCTGGTACTGTGGACCCTAGACCCGATGCACCCTCCCCTGACTATCTCCTAACCAAACTTCAAGCCCTGAGACAGGCTCTGCCTCCCCCGGAGAACCTGGCCCGGGCCAGTGCCCATCCTGGCCTGCTCAGGTGCCCCTCTCCCAGCCCCAGCTGCTCTCTGCTGTCCTGCAAAGTGCTTCAGCATCACTCCCTCCCCTGAAGTGCTACAAGAACAATCAAGGCCCAAAAGAGTCATAGTCAAAGTAGGAAAGGTGAAACAGTCCTGGAGCTGGCATTTCAGAAAACTGAGAAAAAAAAAAGACCAAAAAATATATATTATAGTGTATGTGTGTGCACGTATGTATAAAGATAGTGTGTGAATATGTGTGAAATATAAAAGCGTATATGTACACTATTTTACAAGAAAGCAAGGTACTTATCCATGCTTGTTTAATGCATAGTAATTGTACGCTTCAGAAGGTCTTTACATTTCTAACACATGAGAGAGATTTACCAATTTTTATTATGCTTTTTCACACAGGGCTCTCTTGATAGGAGTAAAGTAGCAATCATTGGACATTCATTTGGTGGAGCAACAGTTATCCAGGCCCTCAGTGAAGACCAGAGATTCAGGTAAAAGAAGCAGATGGGGACGCAGGAGAACAGTAAATTTATGGAAGCAGGGAAAGGGTAATGGGTGTGAGATTTAAATTTTTTTCAAATTCTTGGTGAATTTCAAGGTGCATAAGTTTATTCTTTGTCTTACGAAGAAAGTACTCACTTCTGCTCTTAAAAACCCCCTGAGCCCCTGAATCTCCTTCAAGACTTAACATTTTCATTTAGAAATCTGTTCGGCTCTTTTATGTGGCATAAGGATTGTGGTAACCACATTCTCACACCCCCAAACTTCTCCAGTGGGCAGGACGTTTTTTATTTACCCTCCTCCATACTGCACCTCTAAAATTGGGCTGGATCAAAAATTACAGTTATTTGGGCAGGAATATTTCATCCTTGAACTACTTAATCTCAGGCTGATGAGATCACGTAGACCCACCATATAGAGAGTGAGCAGGGTGATTTATGCAAGTTCAGCTTGATGTTCTTAGAAATCAGTTTCAGCCTAAGGCAGTTCTCTTCTCTGTTCTTTCAATGCAACAGGCAGACTGTCCAAACAGTTGGGAAATAGCACAACTTGAGAAAAAGAAAGTTAGTTCCAATTCCAAATGGTATTTTTCTTCAACCCTAATAGTTTTTCAAGTAAATCACCTTTAACACGTAAAGCCGTTACTCTTGAACAGGCAGAAAACATTCACTATGGCGCTCCCAAAGCTCTCATGCATGGAGGGGGTGTTGGTGGAAGATGGTTTGAGGGATTATGCATCTACCATATTTTTTCATGACACCTCAGTTTTAAAGAAATAACTGCTTATTTTGAAAACAATAGAACAAAAATGAATAATAAAAACTATTGAAGTATTTGTTTATAGGGTGCAATTCCAAACAAGCCCTCATGAAAACAATTGTGTAATTCTAGGTTTATCACCTTATAAATACCCCACTTGTACTGCAGTCTGATACCTGCTGAACAGCCAGCTACCCCACAACAAGCCGGCAGAGTGGGAAGACCTGTACGGGGCCCGGGGATAACCTACCAACTCATGTTACAGGTGTGGCATTGCCCTGGATCCATGGATGTTCCCAGTGGGGGAGGACGTCCACTCCAAAATCCCACAGCCCCTCTTTTTTATTAACTCCGAATACTTTCAAAGTGATAAGGATACCAAAAAAATAGAAAAGTTCTACCAACCTCAAAAAGAAAGAAAAATGATTGCAGTCAGGTAAGTATCAGTGATTTATTTCTTGACCTGAAGCAGAAACTTCAAATTTGGGATAAATATTAACAGATATCATCTGGTAGCCACTGTATAATTGCTAAATTGGTTGTTGAGACTTTCAGTGGGAAGAACATTAGATAACCAGTGTCTATTTATGTTTACACTTACTCTTCTTTGGGGGGGGGGGATAACGGGGATTGAACTCATGATCTCACACTTGCCAGGCAGGCGCTTGTGCCACTGAGCTAAACCTCCGGCCCTACACTTACTCCTTTTAAAATGAAACTGCGTTTAATCATGTGAATGTGTGTAGTGCAGGCATTGCTAACTTAAATTTGCATTAAGATGTGCACTACTCTTATTAAATATCGGGACTTGTCCATACATTTTGGGAAGTGAGATGTGAGGACAAAGTAGTCCGTCATCAGTCCAAACTAACAACTCTGCGAAATAACACAAGTTTGTAGAGGTCCCAAGCTCTCATGCAGTGTCATCTTTTCTAACACCCTTATCCAGGAGGTACATGGCACAAGAGCATACACCAGAATAGAGGGTCCTGCAGGACTGAGAGTGTAGAGGCCAGAGAAAGAGCTAAGTGGTCCAGGTGAGGACTTGGAGTCAGCTTCTCCTTCTGTGCACGCTAATTCTAAAGCAGAGTCAACACAGCCTTCCTTCATACCCAACACACTGCTAGGCTCTCCCCTCATGGTTTCCTTTTTTTCTTGCTGGAAATTTTGAAAGCACAGCCCGTGATCCCCCTTCCCACACTCATGCTCAGCTCTGGGCTTGGGTCCAGCTTCCTGAGCTGGTCACTGCCCCTCTATGGCTGGTCTTCCCTGTTGCACTTGTCCCCCAGGGCCTCAGCCTCCTGAGCTGATGCTGTGCACCCCACCTGTGCGCCCCACCCTTCCCTGCACTCGGTCCTGTTCTCTTCATAGGCTTCCCTCAAGCTGCTGCTCCCCACTGTATCCTTTCTTGATGTTTCTGATGCCCGAGTTGTCCCTGGAATATAGGAAAGAGGGACAGGTGCCAGGTGGCCAAGGTCTGGGGCTCAGCTGAGTAAAGGAATGTGAAGAGGAAGCACTGCAGGGAGGGAAAGCCAAATGTTTTAATCTTGAGAACTAGGAAGTCTGGAAGAGCACCGAATTCACTTGATGCCAAACATGAACACTTTGAAGCAGACACTGCACTTACTCTCAGCCCCTTAAAAAGCAAAAAATATTTCTTCTAAATTCAAAATGCCAGGATTCTTTGAACTGTTTCCTAAACGGACCAGTAAAGGACCTTAAGATTCCTGCATAACAACTTTGACTCCCCCCCTCCCCCCAGTACATCTAAGAAGATCAGATTACAAGTTTTGTTTCCCTGATTTTCAAGAAGTAGGCCAGTCTGGCTAGTATCTTTCCTACACCCTAACTGCAAATAGAATTGTATTAAATAATGTGCATGTAAATGTCTCATTTCTCTTGCAGAGGTTTGGTCCATCACAATTTTGTTGACATCACTTTTGCCACTGGGAAAATAATTGAACAATTGTTATCAGTGAAAGGAAACATAGATTCAGAGGTGGCTATAAACCTCATCACCAAAGCTTCGTTAGCATTCTTACAGAAATACTTAGGTAAGAAACTGGTATTTTTCTCTGTGAACTGGATGATTCTCAGGACAGAACTGTGCTGCCTTAAAACCCATGCTAGTCCCATTCTAACTTTTTTTCAGTAGATTTGAGACTAGCCAAAGCAGTAACTCAATTTGAAAAACAAAACTTGGAGAGCTAATTTTACCACTAGGGATATTACAGATCATAGAAAGCACATCTGCCTGTGAAAGTTGAGTCTCTCAGTGCAGTCGGGGTGAGGAGCATGCTGGGGGGGTGCCTGGCTCCTTAGTTTTTTGCCTCTTCTAAAGCATCCCTTTGAGGTGCAGCATGGGCTGTGTAATGTTTAAATCTCTGGTGCCACCTAGAGGCCATGGACTGTTTAGTGTGCTCAAATGTTTCATATTTATTCCCATTTTGTTTTCCAGGACTTGATAAAAATTTTGACCAGTGGAACTCTCTGATGGAAGGAGATGACGAGAATCTTATTCCAGAGGTCATAGTACCCACCACTCTGCAGAGCGATCCAGGAGCAGAGCAAAGAAATCTAGACTAAAGGCAGTTAAAAGGGCGATGAAAACTATCTAAAAGAAAGGTTGTGTGTGTGAAGAGACTTCAATGTGTTTTCTGAGGTCACTCATATTTTAAAACGTGGGCTATGCTGTAACACTGACAAAGCCTTGGGTTAAGAAAATTTTCCCTTAAATGTAAAGAAAGAATAGAGTATTTTTAAAAAATCATATCAACCTAGGTTATAATTTTACTAAAGTGATCCTTTTTGAATGTCAAAATTAAAGACTTTTTACAATATTTTAATGGCAGTGTGTATTAAAATAAAATGGTGATGGAAATGTCTCGATGGCCTAGGATCCCCTAACTTGCGTACAGGCTTTTTTGTCTTTTATCCTAAGTTATGACAGCAGAGTCTTAGCAACACAGCATTCTAGGTAAAAGTGTCAGTGTTTCTCTTTAACTTTTGGTCATGGTAAGAAAAATTAGATGAAGTAGAAAATAAAGCCATGGTTTTAATGCAGACTTGCTGATAAGAGGAGTGGACGAGGGTTAGGACAGTTGGGCACAGGGCAGAGGCACAGAATAGAGATTAAATTGTTGGCATTTTTAATGCCTTATCTCTGATGCCATTTAGTGAGCAAAGGTGCCTCTGGGTTAGAGTTGGGTACAACGCCTGGGGACTCCAGCCTGTGAAGAACAACAAAAGAAACACTGACAAGTAGGCTTTTTTTTCAATTTTCCTCACGAATTTTTAAGGGATATTTTCAATTTTGAAAAGTTTATATGCAGCAATGGTATCACAAGTGGATGTTTAAAAGCACCTTTAAATGAAGATAGTTATAAATCTGGCAATCCTGAGAAATGTTTTTGCTGCTGATTAATTAATACAGAAGTTTGGTGTGGCCCCTACAGATTCCCAGAACTAAGTGTACTTAGCTTGAGCCTGCTCCGCATGAGCAGGGCCACCCATGCTAACCAAGCAAGCCTGGCTCAGAGACCAAGCTTGAGCACCCTTCTCTGGTTGCTAAGCCACAGTATATCCTGATTTGACACCACCGGACTAATTTAGTGTTTAAAGGTAAAACATCACTCAATCTGAGAAATTTGACTTCTCCTCCCCTGTAGCCATTTAGAATAAAATTATTTAAATGGTGAATCAAACCCTTAGTTTGAAACTGATGGTTTTCTAAAATCTGGCCGAAGTACATCCTTCCATGTTGTCTCTTGGTAATTCATTACTGGATCTCCCAATGAGCCTGCCCAAGTTGCCTACTGATTCTTTCCCCTAGGACGAAGCAATGTATTTATCACCTCAACTGTTATTAATACAATATTAATACTCCTTTCCACTGATGGAAATGATGCCCAGTTGCCTGGTAGGTCATGTGTAATAGTGGGGGTAGAGCCCAGGGCCTTCACGTTGAGCTACCTCCCCATTCATTTGTATTAGTTTAATTTTTTTGAGGCAGGGTCTCATCAGATTGGGATGTTGCACAGGTTGAGCTCAAACTTGAAATTTTCCTGCCTTAGCCTACCAGAGTGTTAGGATTACAGGCATGCACTGTCACACCTGACTCTAAAGAGCACAGTTTTACAATCATTTGTTGGTGGCACAGACAGATGCCAAAAGAGAAAATAAATGATGAACACACTCACTGAGTTAAAGTTCAAAAAGAAAAAAATTTCATCTTTTTCAGGGAAAAGACAAAAATATTTGCCAAATGTTTACTCCTTTTCATAAATTATAAGTATTTCTCTTAGAAACACAGTAAGACTCTGTCTCATAAAGCAAAAAGAAACATATAACCACTTTACAGATGAGGAAGATCAAGGCTGAAAGGTATTATATAATCAGCCAGGGTCACCTATCTAGTAAGTAGCATGGAGCCAAAAGCTGCGTGCTTTGCACTATACAACCCACAAGACCATATTTTAAAGGCATTAGATGTTGGAGGATGTGAGATGGATCAAGATTGATCAAGCTCTGAGGGTCCCTAGCTGACCTTAGGCAGCTTGTTTAACTTTTCTAAAAGTCTTCAATTTTCTCACCTCTAAAATATGGATAATGTCACTCTGCACCTAAAAGTCAATGGTTAAAATGGAACAATGCCTTCAAAATATCACTTAATAGCTGAGGGCCAAGATTTCCTATTGCTAAACTTTCCTAAGTCCCAATTTTAAAGGAAGACAGATGGAACCACAGGCACAAGGAGGTGAGACCATCATGCCTTTAAGGATAAACTTTATTGTCATGTCATGTCACACTAGCAAGCAAAATAATAATAAGAACATTTAACTAGAAAGATAAAGCAAAACTTCAAGGTCCAAATAAAAACTCTGAAGAAGTTACTGCTACAAAATCCCTACTAAGCAGTGTCATCTAACAATCTTGTCACAAACCTATATTTTTCTATTTGAATGTAAACATTATATTGAAAAGATGTCAACAGTTTTTCCTTTGAAATGTGAGTCAAGTGGTAACAAAATTGCTTAGCAATGAAAATCCTCCCAGATCACTAGAAACATAAAAATAATTAAAGGTAGAAGAGAGATCCCAAACCCATCAACACAGCAGTCACAATATAAACACACTCCATCGCCAATCACTGCCCTGTTTGGTTTTTGAGACCCATCAGTTTTCAGCAGTGACACTAAGCTGTGGTGATGTGCTGCCAGCCTTCTCCGGTATTCCTGGTCCAGGTGAGACATCACTTGGGCTGCTGCAAGCGGCCTCAGCAAAACCGAGGTCACCTCCAGACCCCTCTTCTGAGACAAGAAGAGAAACACCTTCATCTGAGAAAGAAGTATTAAGACAGAAAAATTATTCAGGGGGACTCAACCAGGATGAATCTAATGACCTCTCAAAACATAGAGGGAGCTGTGAGCGTTCTAATTACTGCAAAGAAATAGAAATACTGATGTTTTTAGTAGTTTACTCTTACACTGTGCCTATTAGCGATATTTCTTCAGAAGATTGTGGAACTCCCTGCCTCTTCCTAGAGTAAGGTTAATAAGGGTTTTCATCAGTGGTTCTCTTTCTTTTTCACATAATACAGAAGCCACCAACAGCTGACCCTGAGGCACTCAATGTGCCTCAACTCTACGAGCCAAAGTGTTGCTTCTGAATGCCAACAGCGTAACTCAGAACACCCAGCAACTTGAATCTCACCAAACAGCTCAACCAAACATTCACAAAGAAATTTTAGAAGATTAACATAAGTGTCACAAACTACTTAATATTGAGAAAATCATGTAAAGTCCTTGTGGTAGATTGATAACTGATTGTCCACTTGTAATACCAGCTGAACTGAACCAGTGTGGAACTATATAGCTGGCCCACCTAAAGACTGTTGCCAAGATAAACAGAACTAGACAGGAAGTAGTAGTGTTGTTAGTTCTCCACGGGGGTGTGGGTTCTCCTGTCTAGCTTTTTTCCCGATATATGAATTTGGCTGCTCTCATCATCAGAGCAGCTCGGGACCTTGTTGTTACTGAGAATGGCTCTGGTTCCCTTTGGGGGAGCTCTTAGCCTTATTTTGAGCATTGCTTTCTGGCTCCAGAAGGAAAGATAGCCTGCTCTTCAGTCTCTAGGAGAAGCTTGTCAAGCTGGCTTCCTGCTATGAATTTGGCTGTTCTCATCATTGGAGGAGCTCAGGCCCTTACTGTTGCCAAAAATGACTGTAGTACTTTTTTGGGGAGCCCTGTACCTTATTTTGAGCATTGCTTCTTGGCTCAGTTCAAAATCCTCAGTCTGCTGGTATAGATCCTTTATACCACTGGCATAGACATTTCTGACTTCCACTGCTGACCTTTGGGCCTCCCTAGTACAGATCCATGAACTAGACTTTCATGAAACACTATTGCGGGCTCTAGGTCTTAAGATGGAATCATGCAGGCTGTTGCCATGGGATTCAGCTGGATTTTGGGCAGTTTTTAGTGTGGATTTGGGGTTTTTAGTGTGTGGACAGATTTCTTACATTCTTTCCTTTGTATTTAACTCTCTGGATGACTATTATAAAATAATAATATAAATGCTGTGTCCTATATGTTAATTATTTTCCTTGCAAACCCCTGACTACAACAGTCCTTTAAAACACAAACTTATCAGACTCACAGTTCACTTTTCAAGGTTAATTCAATCACCCAACAAATTTCCTCTGACATTTGAGAATTAAACCTGTTAATCAATTCTTTAAAAATTTTCTAAAATTTTCAATTTCCTTCCTCTCTTTCTTCCTTCTTCCCTTCCTTCCTTTTTTCATATAACTCACATCCAAATAAACTGACAAATCATTTTTTCAGAGATTCAGAGTAACGGTATCATGAAGGCTTAGCAGTCCTAGTTGATGAAAGTTGGAATTTAAAAATACACGTTACCCTTAAATGCAGGGTCATCCAACGACGAATCATAAAGATCTTTTTCCAATGTTTGGGATGAAGCCTAATAAAAAGAATCTTTAGATTACTTAATAAAAAGAATCTTTAGATTTTAAAAATTCTAAGTAGAGAGTAGTTTAAATCAGAAACAGGACCATAGTGAAGCCAGAAAAAATAAAACTACAGAAATAGACCTATTAAAATTGGACAGTGTAGTTTCATAGTGAAGACTCACTGAGTACATTTCTTATTCTTTACGCCTGCACTTCCCTGCTGGAGTGCACACAGGGCTCCCATCCCCTGAATAAGCTGGGTGTTGGGTGGAGGAAGGAGGGACATCACTGTCCACAGAGCAGCCACTCAAACACACTGTCCTAGGAGCCTGGTCATTCATTGAAGGCTTAACATGGAACAATAGATTCCTCTCCCCCCTGCCCATAACTCATAGCGTGGTGTGCATGCTTAGTGTGACAGGCATTTGGACACGGTCAGGGGATGGAAACATTTTCTTATGGTAAAATGAGATGGCTCAGATATTAAAATCCTAAAAAATAATCAGAAAGACACCCAGACTGTAAGGATTTGACATATTAGAAAAAAGTTGTATGTAATTTAATACTTCATAGTATTCACTTTTTAAGGAAAACTAACTTATTTATAGATGACTATGCTCATTGAAGAGCTTCTTCAATTTGGAGGAAAGAATCATTTAAAGCCCATGAGTAACCAAATCAAATATTTAAAGGCCTTACTCATAAATAGTTTCTGTATACCTGAAAATTGCCTCTAAAATCAGGGGCAATTGCATCTATACATACCTTAAGTAGTCCCAAATTATCCTTTACTTTTGGTAGATCTAAGGTATTTTATTTAATGAAAGTACTTTGTGTGTGTGTGTGTGTGTGTGTGTGTGTGTGTGTGTGTATGTATCTGTGTGGTTGTGAAACTTTCAAAGTTACCAGAGGTAATCAATATGTAAAAGAAAGTAGTAGTAAATGAGATTCAACAAATGAGTAGCAAGCTGTTATTTTTGACAAGTAAACAAAAGCAGAATTAACACAAGGAGATGAAGCAACATTCAATGTTTTTGTTTGGTTTTTGTACAGGGAATCAAACTCAGGAGTTTGCCAAACTCACAGTTGCCAGGCAGGCAACTATCCCCAGGCCAGTTCAGTGGTTTTTAATGTGGACACTGTCTAGGGATCTAAATATCCAACTCTTAATAGGAAATGGTTCAGTGCGTGGCATGGTGGCCCATGAATGCCCGCAAATACTGCATATGGCCTCTGGTTGCAGCCAAGATGGAGCCAGCTTATTAGACTCACTCTCACTGCTTATATCTGGAAGTTCTGGACAGAACACAGAAAATGATGGCTGAGATTTCTCAGAAGCAAACAGGAGCAGCAAGTCTGACAGCTAGGAGAACAGTTGCATAGTGGCTCCCATTAGGGGTGTTTTTTCTCCTCCTCCTTCCTCTTTTCCCATTCTTCCCTCCTCTCTCTCTCTCTCCTCCTTCCCCTTCCTCTTCTTGCTTTCTTCTCCTTTCTCCTATTTCCTTCTCCATCTCTTTTAACCCCTCCTTCCCTTTGCCCCTCCCTCCATTCTTCCTTCCTCCTCCTCTTTCTTCTCCATGACTATGTCCTCTGGCTTTGATCTCAGGGTGGACTAAGTCAAAACTGCCCAGCAGGGTAGACAGTAACGCTCTGACAGGATCCCTGTCACTGGCCAGAAGTTGGAAAAAGGGTTCCTGCATATTAGAAAACAGAAGGCAGGTGAGGCCTTTCTTATGTGGTTAGTTTGTTTCTCCTCGTTCCTGTCTTCTTGGACAGCAGCCTGGGTTCTGCCTGCTTGCAGCAGTGGCAGCACAGGACCTGAAGCCGTAGGAGAATCCATCTCTCTGGCCAGCGGAACAAGGATGGATGGGGCTTCTGTTGTTTGCATGGGAAGAGGAAGAAATTCTTATTTTCTTCATGTTTACTTCACCTGCTTTGCTCTAGACACAGGCTCAGTCTCACAGAAGTGTGTGCCCATAGAGGGAAACCAGCAAGAACACAACTCTGTACTCTCTGGCCAGGGGGCGGGGGATAGAAGAAGAGGCCTTTGGGAACTAGATAAAAGAGAAGCCTAGGAGCCAAAAAGTGTGAAGGAAAGCTTGGGAAAGAAAAGAGCTCCACAACTGTAAATTTCTTCCCCTCTAGGAAGCCATATATGTCCAGGATCACTGTAGCTGTGCTACATAGAACAGAATCAAAAAGCCTCCAGCTTTTGACTTCTGGTAACTCCATAAAGCATGGTCTGAGTCTCAGGCCAGTCCTCATGTGGCCTGAACATGAAACTGATGTGGGAACCATCAACCAGAAGGGGACAGAGTTTGTGATGAACAGAATGGGGCTCATGGCCCATGGAAAAATGAGTTTCAACCTTCTCCACAAGGCATGAACAGGACCCAAGCCTTACACCTGAACATGTCAGCGTGTTCAGGATGTAACCCAAAATTCCTTTGCACGCAAAGAACCAGAAAAAGCCGAGTATCTCCCTAGCAAAAGACAAGCAGTAGTTGTGAGTGCTGAGATTTTGGAGCTGTGGTGGTGTCCATCTGGACATGTCCTCCCACAGCTGTGTGCCCTCACAGGAGAGGCTTTTGAAGGGTGACCAGATGATGGGGGTGCTGCAGCCCACTGTGCTCTTAGGAGGTAGAGTTTGGCTGGAAGAAGTGGGTCTCTGGGGTGCAACCCGGCAGGGTTTGTCTCCCTCTGGGGGTCCCTTCTCTCTGCTTCCTGGCTGCAGTGCTGTGAACGGCCTTTCCTCCACCCAGGCCTTTCTACCAGGCCTTCCTTTGGAGCTGGCCAGCTATGGACTACAGACGTGAGCCAAAATCAACTGCTCTTTAAATGGTAGGCATTGTGTATTTTGTCCCAGCAATGAGGAGAGTGAACAAGACAGGAACTACCAGACAAAGACTGTTGAAGTAAGAACTTCAACAAACCCCAAACAGGATAAATTTAAACATGCGGAAAAAATCACAGTGGCAAAGGGAAATGCCTACTGCGTGGCCTTGGGTGAAGAACAGAATACAAAACTACCTGGACTGTCACATCAATTGTGACCATAATGGTTAGACGAAATACTTCAATAGGAGGGAAAATTATGGAAGAAAAGCAAGCTGATTGACCTGTCTTTCTTTGGACAGGCATATCAGAGGTGACTGCCACTTTCTCATTTTTAATGAGATTTGCAGATTGTGTGCACCAAACATATTTTATGAGAGTCATATTTTATGAACACTAAATCACTTTCATGTTTTAACTTCAAAGTGAAAAGCAAGGACTAAAACATTAATAATTAGTTTGTTCAAACTAGTTTGTCAGATTCTTGGCCAGAAATACTGATCTTTGTTGTGGTTGTTTTTAACTATTACTGCTGTAGCGTGTTTTTCATCATTGTTCCCAACACAAGGGCCCTGGAAAGACGTTTGTTGTGATGTCCTCACTAATGAATGCTCACAGAGTTCCACACCTCTGATGGACTCTTTTCCGATTTGGGAATGCCATTCCAGACATCCTCTGGGTTTGCCAGCTCCTCCATGCCATTTGAAAGGTTCAAAACCTACAATAAAAAATATAAGTAAACCTGGCATGTTCTGAAGCTGTTTTATGTACCACAGCAGTTCTTAAAAGGAAACACTTTACACGACAAAGAGGATGATTGTACTACATTAAATTTCCATGTTATATTCCAAACTCAATGCTAGTTCAGTTCAACAAACACATATCACTTGTGCTTGAAGATCAAAGAGGAATAAAATTTAGTCTCAAGTGATCAAAGTGTTGTGGAGCAAAGATCTATGAACAGATAAACACAGTCCAGTATAGGATGCACAGGAATATGATACAAGTACAAGTAAGGTGGGGGGTGTTGGGAGATACAGTGAAATTCAGAAGATGATGTCAGTGAATTCTTTCTGAAAAGAGATCATGGCTAGGGTCAGGGATACAGATCAGAGGCACCGCGCCTGCCTGGCAAGGACAAGGTCCTGCATTTCATTCCTGCTAAAAAAAAAAAAAAAAAAAAGAGATAATGGGATAATGGGTAACATGAATTTTTAAAGGTAAGTGGGAATTAACTATTTTGGGAATTTGGGGAAATGTGATGCAATTCAGACAAATAGAACTGAACTACTAAATACACAAAGTAGCGAGCAGAATGGGTATATATAAACATCAAACCGTTGGGTGTCTAATGCAAAGTACCAATTATAGTGACGTAAGAGTTAGGACCAGAGGTAGAGACACTCAGCCCTCCAGGATCCCTTATGCCATGTTAATCATCCCATCTTTATCCTAGACCAATTTTAATGGAATACAAATGTATATTCTAGAACCCTGTCCCCAGAAATCCTGAATCAGCAGGCCAGGCCAAGGCTTAGTAATCTACAGCTTAAAAACATACCAAGTGGTTCTGATATCAGTGTTTTTCAGATTATAGGAAATACAAAGGAACTGGAAGTCCCTAAAAAGTTTTACCCAGAAATGATGTCATCGGAGTTGCATCTGACCAGTTTGATACTAGTGGAATGGACAGTCAGTTGAAGGAAGGCTAGAATAATTCAGTCAAGTAGAGGCTGCTAGAGAAGCACAGCTGTGAAAGTAGAGGCTCCACCAAATAGAGGTGTTAGGTGTAAACTGGTCCAGATCAGAGGTAAGAAGTGCAAAGTATGCACTGGGGTGACTACAGGATTGGGCGTGCTAAGAACCTAGGGTTATTTCTTGCTTGGATTCTGCTATCTGAATGTTTAATAAGAATTTTGTACTATATCACATTACCAGGAGGATCAAGCAGATAAGCACCCACCAATTGCATTCTGCAGCCTGGTAAAAGTTACTAAAATTCCTTAAAGCTGCAAGTACATTTTCAGATAAGACATAAGAATTTCACTTACCTTTGTGCCTTCTTCAGCTATTTCCAAAATTTCACATTTAGACCACATGTTTCTGAGACTTGACCACACAACGCATTTGGATCCAACGGTAAATCCTTTCAGAGTGTAAGTGTTCTGCAGGTGAGCTGCCAAATGGAACAGAGGTAGACTGGATGCATACCTCTCAATTCCTTTGTGTGGATACACACGCAAAGTATTTTCCTAATCCAGACTTAATATTCCTATATAATCACTATGATGTTTTTACTATATGGGTAGTAATATTCCCAGCCTTTCTTTTCCTCAATTTTACTTTAAATCTTTCCAGCAGGGCTGGGGATTTAGCTCAGCGGCATAAGCGCCGGCCTTGCAAGCAGGCAGTCGTGGGTTCAATCCCTGGTACCAATAAAAAGGAAAAAGACAAAAAAAAAAAATCTTTCCAGCAAATTCCCTCCCTTTAACCTCCTTTTCTTTCTTTTAACCACATAGATGCGGCATACACTGCTAAAATCTGTACTTTTGTTACCAATGATGCTGTCTGTGGTCACGACAGCCATTCCCATAGCAGGCAGCACTTTGTGGTTGAGTGGTCATCAGTGTCACAAAGCCAGTACTCACTAGGATTAAACTGTGACAGTGAGCAATAAAGAGCTATTGCAAGGTGGTAGTTACAGAAATGACCATGTACCCACAGCATGGTTTACTATGCGGTTAAATGTTCTAAAATCATTTTAAGGGATCAAAACACAGAACACACTGTAGTCTATGTGGTCTACATTTAGTTTTTAAACTGTATGCAGACAGATGTACACAAAGAAAGGAAACTACCACAAGAAGACCACACTGTATGCTAACAGCAGTTATTTCTCCAAGATTTTCACCACACAATTATCTCCTGTTTTATATAATTATTAAAATTTAAGAATACAAAAATTGGCATTTAAAAAGTATAACATTTCAAAACCTAAAAGTTAGCTACTTAGTTAACTTTTAAATCTTTGTAAGTAGCAAAGAAAATAACAATTTATCAGAAAGTTAATATGATAAATGTTTTCCAGCTTTACTCCTGTTAACTTGCGCTGGTTCATACTGGCTCCCTGAATCTTTTTTTCCCAATGAAAGGGCTTAGAAATGAGCTGCAACACAAAAACATGATGAGCTAAATCTGAAAAACTAAAAGGATCCCTATTGTAAATATATGGCACAAGAAGTCTTGCTTGGCCCAAAGAATAATTCACCAACCCATACATTAATCTGCTTTTAAGGCTTATGTCCTTACACTTAAAATATGTTTGCCTTCTGAACACATTAAGTTTAAGCATTTTACTTTTGAACACAAAGTTAGTATTTCAGCACTTCATTTAGTGTTATCTTAATTTACATTAACTTCGCAACTAATTTTTGCTACGTTTAAAATGCCCTTATTAAAGCCAGGCACGGTGGAACGCTCCTGTAATCTGAGCTACCTACACAAGCAGCTGAGGCAGGAGGATCAAAACTTTGAAGGCAACTTAGGCAACTTAGCAAGACCTCATAATTAATAACTAACAAAGTAACTGAATAAAACCTTTAAATCCCCTGAATAAAAATCTAAATGATTCGCCTCTCTGCAATTAATCTTTCTTTAAAAAACTTAAGAACTTTGTATAATAATTACTCCATTTCTTTTAAAATAAAAAAGAACCTCTGGAAGACACTAAGTTAAACTAAAAAGTGCAAGGAAACAAACTCACATACCTAAGACACTCTCTGAAGCATGATTTAGTTTCTTTCTATCTCTGAGTTCTTCTTCAGGGAATGAAGGTATCAAGGATGAAATGGCATCTGTATTTTTATATTCGGGGAGTTTCTCTTCAAACAGACTCATTTCTGCATGGATCGTGGAGTCACAGCACTCCCCAAGGAGATTCAGTGGCACCTTGAGCTGGTCATCTACAGGGTCCCCACAACCTGTCTCTCTCGAGCCCTCCATACACCCAACCCTTTGGGCTTTCTCACCAACTGGTACAGACAGAGGACCCAGGACACCCTCAGGTGACACTGGGGCTTCAGGAAGTTCCACTTCTGGCTGTGTCTCAGACTCACTACTGTGGGGAAACTGAACCGGAAATGGTTCCAGGGTAGCTTTGCTATCATGGTCTCCAGAGAGCGGCATGATCAGTGGCTCCAGGCCTAGGTCCTCTTTGTCTTCATCCTTGACTGGAGAATGCTGTAACTGAAGGGACTCTAGTTCTAAGAATTCTTTCAGATCTTCATCAGGGGAGAGTGGAACCTCAAAGGAATTCAGTTCTAAGCTCTCCGTGGTTTCACTGGCACGTGGCAATAATGTATTAAATTCTGTAATCAGGAATTCATCATCAAACGTTTCCCGGTCACCCAGGTAGCACTCTTTTGTGCCTTCTAGGATAGAGCCAGTTCCACCTTCACAAGGGTTTTCAAACGCCTTAAAAATGTTTTCAGTTCCAAGGTCACAGAATCTACTTGGCTTGGTTTCAATGTTTAAATCTTTTGCAACCTTTTCAGAAACATCGGCTTGTGGTTCCACAGCTTTAATACTTGGTTTCTTAAATCCAACCTCAGGACTGGGGTGCCCAAGACCTTCCTTGATCTCTTGCCCATCTTTCTCATAAGGCAGAAAGCTGTTAGCAGTGTTAATTTTCGAATACTTCTTCATTTTCTCAGTAATACTTATACCTTTGCTTCTCAAGTCAACAATTGCTAAAGGAACATCACAAACATCCCTCTTGATTTCTAAGATTGTAATTTCTAACACATCTTCTGTTACCAATTCATAAAAATAATCATTTCCCTGTTGAGGACAGGAACCTTCTGAAACATTAAATCCTGAAAGGCAACATGGAAAGGCTTGCATGGGAATGGATAAGAGCTCAGGAGGGATATTCAAGGCTGTTTTTGGGTCCACACAGTCTTCCATGTTGCCAAAGTCTACAAGCCTGACACATAAAAGGTGATCTTCACGCATATCAGTGATGAGTGCTCTATAATAACGTCCATCTTCTCTATATTTTACCATACAAGGATCTCCAATGTGAGGACATCGGATCTGATCTCTCCAATCTACTGTCTGCTTTGCAGCAGTTTGTACTCCAACTTCTAAATACCGAAGTTTCTCATTATCAGCAAACTGACACCAGAAATACTCGGGTCCATCTACCACTACCGCATAAGCACTCACTGTCTTCATTTGGGGTTTATGCCAGCTGAGTAACACTGTAGTGTCAATATGTGATTTATTAGCAGACTTGGCATAGTCATCTTTAATTGCTTGGGTCAAAAGAGACATCTGAGGCTCTCTGCTGAAAGTATATCTGCTTATTATATCTTCTGCTATGACCCCATGTTCGTCAGCAAGAATAACTTCCCATTTCTCTTGAAGTTTAACAAATTCACATCTTATTTGAGCCTCACCAGTCCTTTGGGAGAAGTAACACATCAATTGCTCGCACTTGACAATGCCAGGAATCCAGAGTCCCCTTAGACAGCAATGAACGCACAGTTGTGGTAGCAGAGCATTCACCGGGTCAAGCCTTCCGACGCTGCCAGTGTGAACCACAGAAACATTGCCATAATCAATAAACTGCACAGAGAGAAGGTTGTTGGGTTGTTGTTCCTCAACCACAGCACGATACCATAAACTGTCTTCCGAGAAGATGGCACATATTATGTCTCCTTTTTGGAAAGGGCCTGCATAATTCTGGGGTCTTGTTTTCACATCATTTAGTCTCTCTGAAAGGCAATTAATTTCAGCTTCATCTTCTGTTAGCTGAACATAAAAGTCAGAAAGGTCATTAATATGTGAAACATACACAGTCGTTTTCAAGCCTGGCATTATCGTCTTCTGTGGGAATTTTAGAGGCAGATCTTTGTTACATGACTCTCCTGTTTTTGCCGGAAGGGTGTCTTCTGGTTTTGTGGCTTTCAAAGGTGGGTCATCAAAAATGTCTTCTTTCTTTTCTTCTGTCGATAGTGACACTTGATTATTTGTGTTTCCCACAGAGCCCTGATGGTGAGTGACACAGTTGGTCTTTGTTGAATTTTTTAAGTGTGTGAGCTTATTCCATGATGAGCCAGTCTTAGGCTTGAATGATTCTCCCAAAATCTCTAAAGTGTGCAGTTGCTTCTCTGCTGATTTACTTAAATACTCCATAGGTGAAAACTTCACATTTTCTTTATTTTCTCTAAGAGTTTCAGTTGTGGAGCAGAATGTTTTACTTTCTTTCCCTTTGCCTCTTGCAGTTTTGTAACCAAGTAGCCCTAACTTCTCATGAATATTAGCATTGATTTGAATGCAGTCATCATACAGCTCTACAATCAGTCTCCCATCTGGCTCTTTTGCTACAACTAAGGCCTTCATTGACTTATCTAAAACAGTTTCCTGAAACCATGTCGTAACCTCATCCGGCATTTTACCAGGAATATCAGATAAAGAACATTTCACAGCCTGCATAGGTAAAAGTAAAACCTCATATGCATCATGAGGTATCAGAAGCAGATTATCACTTGTCACATAAACATTCCCAAAATCAACAAAAAAGACTTTAGTGGGCTCTTGTTCAATGACTAGCCCACGGTACCAGTTGCCATCAGTATACTTGGCAAGGCACAAGCTTCCAGGGGTCAAAGGTGATGTTTGTATACTGGGCAAAACTTGAATTAATTGTGTTATATGACATGACAAATGTTTTAAAATATTCATATTTTTTGCCAGCTGACAATAAAATGTCCAAGGGTCATCAACATGCGTTATATACACTGATTCTTCACTTCCAATTTTTACATCATGTGCAGAATAGTAGTAAGAATGCAGCTGAACAGAAGACTCCAGAGGCTTCTGGAGGTTTACTGGTCTTGCGAGTCTCTTTTCTACCAAAGTATGGCATGCGCTCTGAAAAGGTGTCAGTAAATCCACAACCTTAAACTGTTCATTGTGTACCGAGACCACGGCAAATATTGTGCAATTTAATTCCAGATAGTTTTGCGGTGTGTTATACACAAATTCCCTGAAAGTTTGTGTTGCCTTTTCATCCCAAACAAAAGGATTTTCACCAGTTGGTTGAATTAAGTTATAAAGACTGCACCTGAAAGCCAAAGCTGTAACCTTGAGAAACGCATCACTAGCTGAATAAATGTTCTTCACAGAGACCACGTCTGTGTCTCCATAATCTATGAAGTGTACTCTGACAAACTCCTCGGACAGTGCGCCCATCACCAGGGCTCTGGACCACTCTCTACTTGCTGCCCGCTTTGCCAAACAAGCAGGGGAGTTCCTTCGGTACGGGGCTGGTGCAGTTTCACAATAGTCCTTAATGTCATACATTAGGGCTCTAAATTCTTCAGGTTTCCTGGCCAGCTGACACCAGAAATCGCCAGGGTTCTCAACATGAGACACTTGGACTTTTATTGTACTTCCAACCTCTAACTCTTTAGAAGAGGACTTCAGTGTCATCGTCAACAAGTCTGGTGATGTAAGAGGAAAATGAACAGATGTGACATTCTCTTTATCCTGCACAACTCCTCCAGTTGAAATGTTTTTAACCATGGTTGGGTCGATCAAAGCTTCTGCAACTCCCTCCGATATCTGTTCTTCTACCTTTGGGGCAGAAGGTATTTTGTCATTCTCAGCAATGAAATGGTCTGGGTTGCACCCGGGGGAGTGGGCATGGACTGCCATGCCTTCTGTGGTTTCAAACTCCTGATACCTGGCATAGCCAGCTTGAGCAATCACTTTCCCGATGTTCTCTTCCCCTGTTCTTGACTCATCCAGAATCTCTATGACATACTGCTGTGCCCGCTTATCGAGGGTGTGGATGACCAATTCTTTATGCAATACGGTCTTTTTGAAGAAGGAGATTGCCTCCTGGCTCCAGGCTGTCCCCAAAGGCCACACATCGGCAAGGGTGCACCTCAGGGCCAGCGCAGGCAGCCGCCTGAACTGCGACAGCAGCATTCTTAGGTCACCCCAGTCCACTTGTTCTGTATTGCCCCTGTCGGTCAGGAAGACCTCCACATTCTTATCACCTAGTTTGGTGACAATGGCCCGGTAATAGCCATTGTCTTTCCATTTGACACAGCAGAGATCTTCCGGCTCAGGTTTCAGGACAACGCCCTCCAGTTTGCTGGCCAACGAGTAGAAACTGCACATCCTCCTCTCCAGCCTGCTGAAGGGGTCGCTGTGTTTCTTCAAGCGGATCCAGAACTCGGAGGGGCTGGTGACAAACACCACCTGGGCATCGTAGAAAGTGCTGGGCTTCAGCCTGATAGACCTTAAGCCTGGGAGGGCAGAGTCTGCGTCCCCCATCTGCGTCCCCGGGTCTTCCACTTCTCCATCCACCTCCTCGTCTTCTTCCTCATCCCCATCTTCCTCTTCTGAGCTCTGCAGGAACTGGTCGGCCAAGGAGCACGTCTGCTCCCCAAATACGCGGTTGAGGTTGACGCTGTCATCGCCGTACAGGGTGACATAGTATACGTGCTCGAAGGCACAGTAGAACTCGATCTTGGCACTCAGCTCGCGGCCCAGCAGTAGCGTCCGCAGTTCGCGGACCTGCGCACGGGACCAGCCCCTCCCGCCATCCCAGAGCCCGAGCAGGGCACACGGGTAGGTGACCACGGGCATGCGGAAATGCTCAGGCAGCAGGGGGCGCAGGCGGGCGCGGCTCACCAGCTCCTGGCGCCCCAGGTCCACAAGCAGCACTTGAGCACAGCGCCGCGCCCGCAGCGTGGCCAGCAGCAGCGCGCGGTGCCAGCGCCCGTCTGGCCCGCAGGCGGCGCAGGGTGCACCCGGCTTGTCTGGGCTTTCGTCGTGGCTGTCATCGGGGCTTCCCGACCAGGCGTCATCAGGCGTTCCCAGGGCGCCACCATAGGTCTGTGCCATGCTCTCTGACAGCAGGCAGATCTCCTGCGCCAACCCGCGGAGTTGGCAGTGCACGCGCAGCGGGTGGCACACGTGCGTGACCACCACGGGCTCCGTGACGCCATGCTGCAACTGTGGGTAGAAGTAGTCAGGGCCCGGTGGTTCCGGAGCATGGCGCAGCAGGTGGCGCTCCAGCAGGGGGCGGAAGAGGCCGTCGGACACGCGGCGCGCTAGGCCCAGCTCCAGCATGTGGCGCGCCACGGCGGGCACGTCCAGCAGCACCACCGGCCGCGATGAGGGCAGCACCTCCACCACCCGCCCGCTCAGCTCGCGGCCCCGCAGAGCGCTCAGGAAGCGCACCGCATCTGGCGCCCAGCGCGGCGGCTCCCCCGCGCCGCGGCTCGCAGGCACCAGGCCGGCCAGCACGCAGCCCAACGCCTTGCCGCCGCCCGCCTCGGGGCCTCCCGGCAGCGCCGGCAGCGCCTGCAGCACCGCCGGCACCGCGTCGGGGCGTGAGTCCACCGAGCATACCCGCAGCGCCAACCAGGCCCCGGGTGGCGGTACCCAGTTCATGGTGACCGGCGCGGCAGGCAGGCCGAGCGGGGTGGACGGGTAGGACCCACTAATCCAGGGAGACTGGGCTTCGAGGGACGCCTAGGAGCCCGCAGGGGGCCACAACCTGCCTGGGTTCCACGATGAAGACCGGGCCCAAAATCGCTGCGGCCGCGTCCCTCCACCCACAACCGCAGAGGGGCCCCAGAGTGCTTGCGCCTAGAGGGCGCGTGCTGGGCGTTGGGAAGTGAACGGCCAGGCATCAGTGCGCGTGCGCACCCAGAGGAATGGGGCGCGGGTAGCCCCCTGCAGGTGGCTCACAGTTCTGTGGTCTCCCTGTTTCATCTCCTGAGGAGATGAAAGGAGAAGGTATGGCAAATTTCCTCCTTAGAGGTCGTAGGCGTGCTGCAACTCACTTTGGAAGGTGTTCCTGATGTGTTCTGAGCTAGCACTACGTGCCCTGGCTGCAGGAGGCCTTCAGGTTGGCAGTGTGTGGCCTCCCTACACCTGCCTCTCCCCTGGACACCCTTTGGAACCTGAAGGCAGAGGAAGCTGGGAACTGCAGCGAACTATATGAGGCTTCCAGGATTTGCTTGTATTCCAGGAATATATGTGTGCAAAATTGTACACATCCCTAGGAGCCTCACTTACACACACAGTGCTTCGTAAGAACCTGGCCTGACTGCAAATCCTATTGTCTTTTGTCTGTCCAAAAGACAGGCCACCTTGTGTTTCCAGGTCACCCTTTGGTGTTACCCTTTGGTGACAGCGTGTGTTGGGTGACCACCCATACCCAATGCTTGTGTTATTGAAGCTAGCCTGGGGTGGAAATGACACATATTAGCTAAATGAATAAATGTTGATTTCCCTAAATGTTTTTGATTTTTTTATTTGAGATTTTGTAATTACACACTACAGAAGTATTGCTATTAATTGGCGCATCAGCACAGCCTCTCCCCATAAACTTTTTACTACTCAAACAGCTTCCTCCCCTCCAGGATATAAAGCAGCCAGAATTATATGTAAGTTTCAGGGTTAACACCAGAAATGGATTATAAAGAACTGTAGTTGTGTTGACCAAAAGAGACACAAGTTTCTCATTAACCTTTGCTTTAATGGGTCTCAAAATTCTGTGACAGATTTTTGGTCAAGTTTTTTCCATTAAAAAGTGCTGATTTTCAAAACTAATAACTTAAAAACTGCCACATACACATACAAACACACACACACACACACACACACACAAATGGTCCACAAAACATTATCCTTCTGAAGGTTTTTATGGTGCATTGTTATCAATAACCAATCTTTCACTATTAAACTTAAATGGTCAACTGGGAGAAAGAGTTCTGGGATTTGTCTTCCACTACTGATTAAGACTGGGGTGGCAAGTGTTAGCCTTCTGAGCTTTCTGGGCAGACTTGGTGACCTTGCCTGCTCCAGCAGCCTTCTTATCCACTGTTTTGATGATATCCACATCAGCTGACTGTCTCATATGGCCAATAGTAAAATGACCCAGAGGTGGATAGTCAGAAAAGCTCTCAACACAGGTGGGCTCAATAATGGCAGCATCACCAGATTTCAAAACTTGGGGCCCAGCTTCCAGCTTCTTACCAGAATGGCACGCCACATGCAGGAGCTTTTCTTTCAGCTCAGCAAACTTGCAAGCAATGTGAGCTGTGTAACAATCCAGTACAGGGGCATAGCCAGCACTGACCCGCTGGGATGGTTCAGGATAATCATCTGAGCAGGGAGACCAGCTGCTTCCATCAGTAGATCATTTTTGCTATCTCTGGCAACACTGCCACGATGAGTATCTTTGACAGAAATATTTTTGACACTGAAGCCAGAATTGTCCCCAGAAAGAGTTTCACTCAAAGCTTCATGGTATATTTCAACAGACTTTACTTCAGTCATGACATTGGCTAGGGCACTGGTGACCACCTTGCCAGGTTTGAGAACACGTCTCCACTTGGCCCATGGGGATGGTACCAGTACCACCCATGCTGTGGACATCCTGGAGGGGCAGCTGCAAGGGCTTGTCAGTTGGGTGAGTGGGTGGAAGGATGGAACCCAAAGCTTCAAGCAGTGTGGTTCCACTGGCATTGCCGTCTTTATTAGTGACCTACCATCTACTGAACCAAGGCATTTTAGCATTTGGCCCCAGCATGTTGTCACCATAACCAGCAGAGATAGACACACAAGCTACCTTGTCAGGGTGGTAGCTGATATTCTTAATGTAGGTACTGACTTCCTTAACCATTTCCTCATATCTCTTCTGGCTGTAGGGTGGCTCAGTGGAATGCATTTTGTTAACACCAACAGCCAGAAGGGAATGCTCACAGGTCTGCCCATTCTTAGATATACCAGCTTTGAGTTCACCAACATTAACAACAACAATCAGGACAGCACAGTCAGCCTGAGATGCGCCTGTAATCATGTTTTTGATAAAGTCTCTGTGTCCAAGGACATCCATGAGAGTCACACAGCACTTGCTGGTCTCAAATTTGATGGTGATCCCATGCTCATGCTCGGCTTTCAGTTTATCCAAGACCCAGGCATATTTGGAGGAACCCTTCCCCATCTCAGCAGCCTCCTTCTCAAGCTTTTCAATGGTTCTTTTGTCGAGGCCACCACATTTGTAGTCAGATGGCCAGTCGTGGTGGACTTGCTGGAATCCATGTGTCCAATGATGACGATATTAATGTCAGTCTTTTCCTCCCTCTCCCATGTTGCCTTTGATTTAGTGGTGGTTTTCACTATCCTTGTCCTGTAGCAGCAAACCCGCTGTAAAAAAGCTTTTGATTTTTCCTGATGAACTCATTCTTGAATATTTGGTTCCATTTTCTGCATTTTTGTTAACTTGTGAAATAATAAAGTTTCAGATTTTAAGAATAAGTCATGTGTCAGCTTTTTAATTGGCATACTAACCCCAAACCACACAGGAGAAAAAAAAGAAAAAAACCCTCGATAACAACTGAGTAGGTATTTTAAAACATTTACTTTTTAAATCAGAATAATACAATATGTTTACTCACGTGTTCCTGTTTGTTACCAGATATTTTCAGCAAACAGACCTCTTTAAGCATCTTCATCTGCACTTAACAAACCTTCCAAATGGCTCTCACTGCTGCTGACAATCACAGCAGCCCAATGGGGGTAAAGTATGCAGAGAGAAATATAACCACGTATTCCTCAAAATTCAGAAATCATAAAACACTTGAGTGGGTGTTTGTGCATTTGTATGGCACCTACGAAGGCCAAATGGCAGTATCATTTCTGTGCATCCTCTACAAGGAAGAATAATGTAAACAAATTACTTATTATTAATCAACTACTAACCCAACATTATTTAAAACCACCAAATTCTAGATCTTGTAGAATAGATATTAAATTGATGAAGGTAACATTTCCTAAAATTATGACAGATTTAAACAAAAGGAAGTAAAGCATTTCACGTGAAAAACTAGTTGACAAAATCAGACGTGTTACCCAGCAATTTTTCTGAAGGCAGGAGAAAAAATAGTGACCTACTCCTCTGCATGTAACTCTTCCTCTCGCCACCCACTTCTTCCCAGAAAACCCTCTTGTTTCTGCCAATCCCATCCCCGTGGCCTCTCTCTAGAGTTTAGGATCAGACAAGGATTCCAGATGCTTGCTGTCAAAAAACTGGTTCTCTACTGTGGAAGTGGCACTGTATGTCTAGCAGCAGGAAGCCACAGTGCAGAAGCATTCAAGACTTCGTAGCAGCATGGGGGATTGTCTTAGATATGGAAGTGGGGTTGGACTCAGCTGAAGATGAAAATGATGGGCAGTGGTGGAGAGGAGCAGTAGATGGCAGGGCACGCAGCACAGAAGCACCCAGTGCAGGGGCACAGCATCGCCTCTGCAGAAGCTGGCATGCAGGCAGTGGCACAGACTGAAAAACTGATGGAGTTGGATTGAGTCCCTGCATACGGGGTGAGAGTTTTTAATTTTGTATGGGAGGGAGAACTAGAGGGAGAATGACCTGCCCAGAGGTGTCTCTGTCCCTAAGACAGGTTTTAAGATGAGACAGTCCAGTTACCTAAGTTTGAGTTATACTTTAATATCCTCCCAATCTTTAAACATGAGAAAATAAATACTCCCCCCAAAAGTGTAAGCCCTATTTTTAAAACGTGACATTAATGTTCCCCTTTAAGACAAGGTAAGGATCCAGTGGTCACTTTATCTTACAAAGAAATGGAAATTCACAGACCTGAAGGTACTGGATCCTAGCTTTACCTCTCTGTTAAGATAAAAGTCCTTAAGATTCAGGTTGTTTTCGTTCCACATTTCGTGGCATTCAGTAAAGTATATTTATATTTGGTATTTGTCTTTAGAGTCTTGGTTTCACTGTGGGAAAAACCCTTTAATAACTCCTCTCATTTTTAGCGAAGTATTAAAATTAAGCATTTTACTAAGGAAGTCCTGAAGGAATGTTTTCTCTGTTTTCATCAACAGAAAGAAACACATATATTAATTGTAAATACATGTGTGTGGAGATTTGGAGATAATGAACAGCAAATTATTTTCCATTTAAAAGTCCCTGAATTAGTTTCTCTTTCTTAACAAAGAGGAATTTCAGGTTCCTGAGTCACAAAATTTTTAAATAATAAAGACAAAATTAGATGATTTATGTTATATATTCCGTAGTTGTAATCAATGTTTCCTGATGACTTACCAGCAAAAGGTGCTATAAATCTAAACAGAAATCTAAATGAAAACACAAAATATGTTCTGCTCACTAGTGGGTTATAACCAACCAGGACACAGGGCCCCTGGAAAACACACACTACTCCTAAAACAAAACTTAAGAAATGCTATCTCTTTATTTAGATATACCCACTAAAGAACAGAGAACTATAGGTAACTAAGAAATGCATATACTTTCAATAGGAGAAAGTCTCCAATTTTTTAGGAGAAAAAAAATGGAGAGGCAAACAAAAGGGATTTGAATGGGAAGAGGTATTACTATTGGGCTGAAGAGAAAGAGCAGAACTGAAGGAAGAAAGCCAGACACTGTTCTGTCCATCAACGTGGACGCTAGCTCAGGAAGCAGTCCTCCGTGTATTTACTGTGGACGGTGCCAAGAAACAAGAAGGTTCCAACATCACAAAAATAAAGCAAATTTCCCAGATCACTGAGGGACATGATGAGATATATGCTAAATATATAGTATTTGGTCAGATTTTGGAGGGTCAAGGGTCAAACTGAAGGACCAGTGACTCCACCCTAAAATTCATGCTGGGGGCAATTTAAATGCCTGAGACCAAGAAAAAGTAGCTACAAAAATCTTGGAAAAATTTTTGGAAGATCAAGAGCATTAGCCTGGCTTGTTGTGAAGATGGCGTAAGATATTTACTTGGTAGTTAAATAGTGCATGGTAACTGTCCCTTGCTTTAATCATAATATGTAAGAGGTCTGCATTTTTACCCTGCTTCTTTTAAGTTGCTTCTGAGTGTGGGGAGTTGGCAGTACTTCTGGGGCCTCAGTCTCCTACCATGTAAGATAAGGTTAAACTAGTATTCTCAGGGAATCATTTATTTAGGGTAAAAAATCCCAGTTATTCACACTGCTTTGCCTATCAAGGAACAGTATCAGTATTTAAGCAATGTTTTAATCCTGCATTCCCCTCCCCCCAAAAATGGAGATAGATCAACTTTTCATGGTTCAGTTTGCATATAATTATTTTGATGACGTTTTTACATACATTTAAAAATTACAAAACATAAAAAAAACAAAGTTTCCCCAAGGCAGCTCAGTGCAGAACACTTGGGAATTTAAGCACACAATAGACATATTAAATATACTTGACAACTTAATTACAGATTGACAAACACAATGGGAAAGTAGGACAATTCAAAGCTTTGAAGAGATTAAACTCTACATTCTGCAACTAGAAAAAGGTTAACCTACTGCATATTAGCACAGCACATTAGAATACATTTTTAAAGTGTACTCCCCCCTGGAAAATGGCAGTGATTGTACATTGGTGCCACCACATTGCACTTGTAGATCCCTTTCTGTCCATCATTGACCCTGTACATTGGGAATTCCATTTCATTAGTGCCACAGTCTTTCTTGGGCCTGCTCTTCGGAGTTTTCCTATTTTAACAGTTTCAGCCTCTACCCTTATCTGACATCACCCATCCAGAATACCGCTGTTAAAGATTTGGGTGAGCTGGTGAATCTGGAAAAAATCTATTACCTTTCTAAAATAAGAGATTGAATTTGAAGGTTGGAGCATGACTGTGTACGGACAGCTGATCATATCTCAGTAGGACACTATCAGACTGCGATTCAGGGGTGGGGTGATGTTTTGAGTTCTTGCTCTCTCCTAGAGTCATTAGTGTTAGGGAGGGTCTAAGAAAGGACCCACAGAGCTAGTGGGCTTCTGTCTTGTTTTTGAAAGACCAATAAAAGTCCACTGGCCATAAAAGGTCCTTTGCAAGAGGACCTGCGAGGCTGAGCTCTGATCACCAGTTGCAGTTCTTATGGATCGGGAGACCTGTGAGCTGGTGACAATTCTGAGTTGTAAAGGGAACTGCCACTGACTAGCCCCAAGTCAGTGGCTATCAGGGAGTCACTACTGGCAAGTGTGCAGACCACTTAATACAACACTAGTGACCACAACCTTGTCTCTCCTTGAAATACAAACATCATCTCAACTTGACTTCATTTGTCCTCCACTAGGGAAACTCAAAATGTTTATTCATGAACTTTCATTTGCCTCCCAGTTGTTTATACCATGTATACTTCAACAATAGAACAATAAGTCCTTGACCTTCAGCTATAAATGCCAACATAGTAGTCTGAGTGGACTTCTGAAGCACAGGTGTGCATATATGTATACATTCTTGTACATTCCACAGTCCGCTCAGATCTGAGAGGCCGGTGCCGCCCGCTACTTCTCTTCCCAGCAAGCTCTTCGCACAGGGTAGTGTCAGAGGCCAGGCCTTCCTGCCAAGGTGAAAGTGGCCAGCGTTCTCTTCTTCTTTATAAATACTGTGCCGGGTTTCACTGGGTGGTCTTGTGAGATCGGACTAGATCACTTTTAGACAAAAAGAGGAGTCAAAAAGAACTTGGGTTTCCAGAGGAAGAAAAAAGTGCTGCCCCCTATAAATCACAGTCTCAGTGGAGTAAAGTGTCTTCCTAAAGAGGTAGAAATAATAGGGGGTGTGTGTTGCAGATGCCCACATTCAATAATACTGAGCACTGTATCTGTAAGGGCTTAAAATGGACTGACTCCACTCAGCTCTCTGATTTTTTCATAAGTAAGCCAGAACACCAATGACCAAGGGGTCTGAAAGATTAACCAAAGAAGTTAGTGCGTATTTCAAAGCCACGATCAATCATCTACAAATATGCATTTACATCGTCGAGTGACAAAGTCATTTTGAATCTACTGAAGCTGAAAACAAGTATTTTGTCTTTTACCTTTGGAAAGTACTTTATAGTTTACAAAGTGTCTTAATGGCTCATTCATCACAGATTTCTCTAAGAGGTAGTTTACAAAACAAAGGAAAAGTAATAACATCTCTGCTTTACAGATGAGCACTGAGGCTTAGCCGTCACCTGCCTGCTGGTGTGGGGTAGAGCTGAACCAGAGCTTCCTGTGGTCCACCTGAGTGGTTTCCACTGGAGCATCCTGGATAAGGGCCAGAACCTGGGACACTTCTAAGGAAGCTGGTCCTCATTGGTTTTGTACATTCAGTGTGGCAACCTGACATGTCTCTGGTGAGTTAGATCATAACACCTACAGCTGTTGTCTCACAGTATCTGCAAGGCTTGACTTGGAGTTGAACAGAGACACAGCAATCTCTTGAGGAAATTATAAAAGGGTACTGGCAGAAGATATAAATGCTAAGGGGTAACCATCAGAACAAAGAAAGGGATCTAACTGGATTTAATTTCTGATCCAGACGTATTGGAGAAGAAATCTTCCTACTCAAGACATAAGCTTAAGCAATTAGAGCACAGAAACCATTTGGGTAGAGAGTTTATAACAAGAGATGTCATGTGTGGAAATACTGAGTACTTTATGTTTTATTAGTAACCTGAGAATTTATTAAATAGCAGATTTAGGAAACATATCTTTATCAGATATAGATAAAATAAGGAACATAAAGGGGTAAAGATACTATATTGTTATGAAAATAAAAATGAAGTGAGCCAACGTCATGGCAGTCAGATGCCACCGCCCCTCACTGCTGCGGTAGTCAGAGCTCTTCATGCCAGTAGCAACACGGTAGCAACAAAGTCAAGGGGCAAATGAAATAAGCCTTCAGTAGTGCTGAGCAGCACAAGGGCCGGCTACCTCCAGCTCGTAGTAGGGATGGTGATGGAGTCTGGTTGGGTTCAGTAGGCTTAAGGAAGGATCAAGTGGCTGAAGAAGACGGTATGAAGTGACCGGGGTCTGCCAGCCCCTCACACGGTGGGGGTGTACACTGCATTTACTCAGTAGTTTTCTCCCTGGCACAGCTTAGACTCTATCTGTGATGTAAGTGCAGGGGATCCCATGTTGCTTCCTCTGGTCTGGCTTTTGTTGTAACTGCTAGGAACATGCAGAATCCTTTCCTATGCCTGTTACTGTGGGGCAGGGCTCTCTTTGATATTCTTATGTATAGGTTCACAAACAATTTGCTGGTGAAGTTGCACTCTGAAGGCCCATTTTGTTGGTGGGGCTTATGAGTCAGGCTTCTGAGCTCTGAGTCACCAGGTCACCGCTGGGGCAAACCCATAAGGTGGTGGTACTGGTGATCTGGGCCAGATAGCTGCCTTTCTTCCCTAACTCCTCTCCTCACTGCACCCTTCATCTTCTTTCAACATTTCTGTAAACCAGCTACACACCTTGAGCATCAGCATCCACTGCAGCACAAAAGGACGTGTTGGAGCTCAGATCTGTAGTCAGTTTCCAGGTCTGCCATACACAAACTCTCTGATCTGGCTACTCATTTTTGTGTTAATAAACACCTAGGTACTTTCAGGGTCAGCTTATGCCCAAAGTTTCATGACCACTATCTGTGGACAGTGCTCAAATGTGAATCTCCACCTCCATTTCTCTACCTGTATATTAAGCTGGTCACCCAGACAGACATTTCCACCTGGACATGCTGTGGCTATCCAAACGCACAGCTACAAACCTTCTTCCTTGCCAAAGAGCCTCCGTGGAAACACTGCTCTGGTCCTTGATGCCTCCCTATCCTCTCTCCATCTATTCTCTTGTCCTCAATCATGTCTCTACATCCTCCCTAAATCCTAAAACTCTTTCCAATCACCTTCTTCTGCCCCACCAGCAAAGTCTCAATTTATCTTTCATTTGGCAGTATTCCTAGCCTTTCCAAAACCTAGGGAAACCCAAGAAATCCTCCCGAGAATGCAGATTCCTCTGGCCATCATCATGGCTGTAGCTCTCAGGCCCCTCATCTTCCTGCTTCTGCCCCACTCTGGCTGGCCCCTCCCGCTGCTGCTCTTCTGCCACCCAGGTGCCCAGCTGAGAGTCCTGCAGCTCCTGTCCTCATCAAGCTCTCTCTCACTGTAGCTCTCTGTGTCCCTCTGACTTGGCTGAGTCTTACTCGTCTTTCAAACCTCAGTGCAGACATATCCAGGGAGACCTCTTTAATTGTCCGGTGCATACAGCATGGACAGCATGTAGCTGCCATGTCAAAACATGGGCCACTTCTAGCTTTGTATCCCCGGCAAAGTCCTCAGTGCAGGGCTTTGCATGGAGGAAGTGCTCTATTAAATATACATAAAATATTACATATTATGTTATATTAATCTTTGTTTAAGTTTCTACATCATAACTGATGCAAAATATTTGCATAGCTCACCTTTATATTATATATGTTACATTACTTAAGCATACCAATTCTACATCTTAGTTCATATTAGTAAAAAAATAACATCTATACCAAATAAGGATGATATAATGCTTTCTTACAAAGTGGAGTTTTTTGGTGTGTGTGTGACAATAAGTATTAATAGGTCATGTAATACTTACCATCAAAGTAACAATTTTGTTTGCAATAGTAAAATTTTCCTAAGAAAGTTCTTTTTTATGAAATCTTTGCACCTATGCAATCAATTATCTTTTAGCTCCACAGACTTATGAAGGATTTATATTACCAGAGATCTAACTATTAGCTACTTTTCCCCTATCTGTTAATGGAGATGCAGTGGTACCTCAGTTCAGGAACTCGAATCTTTCCACTCCTCTGTTCACAAACCAAGTTGGATGAGAACCAAATCAAACTCAATGGTTAGATTCAGTGTTGACCGTATGGGAAAATCTGATTCAGTCCTCATCCAGTCTGGTTTGTGACCAGAATCATGAAGAGAATTGAATTTGTGAATCAAAACACCACTGTAAGTGACTTATTTCACCTTAATCTGCCAACAAAAGTGATATGACTCTGAGGAAAGGTGAAAGAAAACTAAACACAATTTTACAAAGAAAAGTTGGACCTTGGATTTGAGGGCAGGGCCTTGTCATAAACCGGAAGAGAAAAGGAAAAATATTTATGGGTTGACACTAATTTAAATATAACAAAAAGAAGAAAAAAGGAAGAATTGAATCCTAACTTTACCATTCGCAGCCAAGATGGTAAAAAGCCTTTGTACAGACTCATGAACCCTTCGCCCTGAACAGCCTGAACCAAGCAGTCGGTCGACGATTTGTACAAAAGTCCCCTATGGAGGAAACGAGAGAGCAAGGTTAAGTTGATTCCATATAAGCACATGCACAGATCAAATAAAATGGTTTAAGGAAACATCTTATAGTAGGTGTGGATACAGATGCAGATAGCTTTGTTTCAGATTAAAGATAATTCTATGGCTGATCTTCTGTCTCATCCCACCCCTGGTCTCATATTTATGCTGCCTGACTCTTCCAAGGAGAGCACACTATTTTGTATCAAACTGAATTCTCTATGTTACCTGAAAGTCCTAAGCTTCTGAAGAAAGTGCTCTGTGAATTCTCAGCAGAATATGCTTTCAAACACTCTTTGAAAACAATACAGTCACAATGAATATCTTGTATCTAAATAACATGATTGCTGATTAGCTTATTTCCTCAAATACAAGTACTTTTTGTCAAAGAGGAGATAATTTCATAAAAAAATTTCCAAACTAATTACAGAAACACATAAATAGCTTCCTGTCAAGAATAACTGCATCTTTAAAGTACAGTATTACCGACATTCAACCCCAAGAATACTGAGGAGTTTTTGATTACCTTCCTTGTTTATCTCGTGGTTGGTTCATTATTCGGCTTTTGATGACATCAGCCGGTGTTCCCAAAATAGAAGCTACCAGTCCAGAACATAAACTGTAGCACAAACAAATGAAATGGAAAGACAATACACAGTGGCTTCAGTGTCACTTAAGAGTGAGGAATTGATATTGGAAAAGATGTTAAAAAAGAATGGAATACTAAACATGTTACTATGGTATTCTTCATAATTATTCTTTTTTGGCTTAAAATTAATATTGAATACATTAATGTGAGGCAGAAAAAAAATCACAAAAAGAATGGTAGGCAACCGATACGCAGTGCACACCTGCCGGGCAGGCCCCTGAAAGACACTCTGAACTTGTGCTCTGTGTGTGAAGAGGACGAGGAGAAATTAGTGATCTGACATGCTGCCAAATGCAATGGAAAATAAAACAGGAACGCGTGACTGGGTGATGACAGGCAGACGGGGAAGGGCTCCAGGGTGGCAGCAGAAGGCAGTCACCTAGAAGAACCTGGAGGAGCAGCCATACAAACAGACGGAAGAGCAGCAGCCAGAGCCCAAGTCAGGGATCTTAAGGGTCATTGGTTGGACACTGTTAACACACTTCTGGACTATCTCAGCAGCGCAGAGGGAGCTAGGATTTGGAACCCACCTCAGAAGCTAATGAAAGGACTGTAAGTTAAAAGAAGGTAGATACTGAAAAGCAATGCATTCTAATGGCAAATAGGAAATTATATTGTAAAGAGAATAAGATTGTGTCCCGTCCCAAAATACCTTCCTTTCCCTCTCTAGGAAAAGCCTATCCCTTCAGATAATCTTCTGTAATCTAATTCCTGGGCCCTTCCAGGGGCTACTCTTCCTTCCTCTGATTCCTGCAGTGGCCAGTCCCTTTTTCAGCCTTTAATCTCATCTTGCGCCCCCTGCTGGAAGCTCCAGGCAGAACTTGTGCTCCTCTACTGGCTCCACCTGCCTGCAGCACAGGCCCTTAACAGAAGAGGTGTGTCCGGTTCATCTGCTGACCCGGGCTGTCGGTAATAGCCAGAGCCTGCCTAGGGATGCTACCACCAAGCTGGAAATTCTTTGAGAGGCTTAATCTGCAATTTCATCTCATTTTGTCTGTCTTTTCTCCTTTAAGAAAATGACTCTTTGTAAATGCATTACGATCTTTCTCTAAGGATACCACCACTAGATTCCCGATCGAAAGAGACCAGAAGTTAGAATTTACCCCTAAAACAGAAGGAAAGATAAAGGAAAGAAAATGGAGTCAAACTATAACAATCACTCACCTGGACAAACCATGAGTCATGATATTGTCCTCAAGTGACATATTCAAAACCAAGTAGTGCTTCACTGTGTCATAAGTGGTTAAATCTAACAATGGAAAGAGAAAGTTAAATGTTTACTTGTATTCATGACTGAAGGTCTTTTGTGTTGAGAATATGCTAGACTTGGCACAGGAATGTGCCCTGGAATGAAAGGTGGAGGGAGGGAGAACTAGAAAGCTGCAGGGCGGAAGAAAAGAGGAAGAGACAGGCGCCCTATTGTATCACTGAACCTCTTGAGTCTGACTAGGCGCAAAGTCAACTCAGCCCTGCCTTCTCTGTATGCAAACAGATAAATTCCTTTGTGAGCCAAAGGCTGAGCTGAGGCCTTGCATTAAAAACAAATGTCCCAACCACTCTTCCACATCAAACTTCTTACATTTTTCTTCTACTGAAAACAGAGCTATGAAACAGAAGGGTGATATCTAACATTGGAGACTTATAAAGATTATCCACACCACGCATTAATAAACTAATGGAGGCAAGGATGGACAGGAACATTCGTTTGTTCACCAAGTATCTCAGTGCCCACCATGTGCCTGGTGCTGTTCTAGTCACTGGAGAAAGAGCCATGGACAAGAGAAACTCAAACCCCTGTTCCCTGTTAAGGGAAGAGACAGATATTCACATTCCTGATAAGAGGACTTATAGCTCTCAATGCAACTGGAACTTGTTGGAATCCAGTAATATTGCCATTACCTCCCATGTTTACCAGCGCCGCTCTCTGTATGTTGGGTATCCAGCCGGCCCACAGCCCACGTATTCCTCCTTCCGCTAAGATTTTTGCAAATGCATGGTGCACACCACGAAATCTAAGGAATATAAAAGTGCAGTGTGAAAATGATGTATCCTTGCACACAGAACATATTGGATAAGTTTCATCCATAGCTGTCATAATTTGCAGTAAAGTAATCAAAACCATTAAGAAATTAAGAGAATGTCCATGAGTCTAATTCCCAATAAACTTATTTCTTTAGCATACAGGCCGTCACTTAGATTTAAACATTTTTTAACAGGAATCACTATAAGTTGTGTTACTTTCTTTTTCTGATTATTTCAAGGACTAAAAATACTATTCTTGACAGGTCATCAGTAGACATACTAACTAGAGAAGGAAAGAGTAGTTGTTAGATTTCTGGGTTCATTTTACTGGTGATGAAGAGGACCTGCAAGTTTTAAACTTCTGCCATTTGGCATTAAAAAAATCCCTGACTCTTGGGTCTGGGTGGCAGCTCAGTGTACAGTTCTTGCCTGGCACACACAGGACCCTGGGTTCAATCCTCAGCACTAAACACACACACACACACACACACACACACACACACACACACACACAATTATTGGCTCTCTTGTACTCTCACAAAATAAACCATATTTTTAGATCAAAAAGTAGAAAGGAGAATTTAAGCATTCTTAGAGTAATTTTAGTTTTGTGAAAATTTACTACCCATTTTTATTTTGCTTATTTTTCAGGAGACAGATGAAAACTGATGCTGAACCATGAACCAAACCTGGAAGCCTCTGCTATATAAAAGAAAATTCTGAGCCTTTATACTCAGAAAAACCTGAAGTCAAATCCACCATTCCCACTGTAGCTTTGTGGTTTCCACACAGTTATTACATGTTCTGAATCACCCCATGTCAGTTTTGACATGGATAGCTATTATTAAGCTACAGAGGAAGTTATAATCACAAACAATGATTTGAGCTCAAATGTACTGACCCCCTAGTAAGTTCCTGGAATTTATACTCAAAAATGCATTTTAATCCTGAAACACTATGAATTATATTCCAATTTATATTTGAGAAAACTGGCTAGAATGTTTAAAGAATTTGATTGCTATTACAAAGCTAAAATGAGGTAAAGGTTGGCTTTGGATTTTTAGGTTCGTTGCAAGGTTCACGCTCTTTATTACAAGTACAGACAAGCCAGGACTTTCTAACGTTAGAGATAAAGAAGAAAACAACTGGGGAATCAACTAAACATGTAAGTATTTTGGAATTCTAACGCCAATTTCCCCCTCAACCCCGCCAAGGTTGCACCATTTCTTCCTGCTACTTAGTAATTGCACGTTGTTCCACAATGAGAAAATGAGCCCTGGCATTCTGTACACTCCTTCCTTAGTCAGAGTTGTGTCTTTTCTCCTCTTGGAGAAAGTAAAGGGGTTTTATATCACAAAACCATTTAAATGTTCTTGAGGGCTTTGGGATATAGGCTGAATCGGATCAGACAAGAAATTAGGAACAATTTGTAAGACTGACCTGGTTAACTTTCCTTTTTTTCTGGAGGAAAAGGGAAAAGCAAGGCTTTTGGAGCCAAGCATCTTCACTAGGTGTCATGAAAAAATTTTGAGAGAGGCTCTGTTAAAGATGAAACTACAGACACTGGAAACGTTTAATGACTTCCACAACACCAAGCCACCGTGGCAAAGCTGGAGTTCATACAAGGACAAATTTTAATGATCAGTTTCTGCAGCTCATTCTGCACAGGGGATAAGTCTAAATGCCCAGGCTGGGAGCAGCAGGGGAGAGTCATGAACAGGTGTGAATTACCTGATAAACAACATGTACGTTTCACTGTGGAGAGAAACAATCCAGATTAGCTGGTAGCATTAATACTATTTGTGAATTCCGAAAGTATGTTCACCAGGTAACTGTTCAAACTGTGATGGGGGAAAGGGAAAAAGGAAAATATCAGTTAATGGGAAAACCTACCTCAGGGGTTTCCCTTCAAGTTTCCTTTTTCCTTCCATTTGCATCTGAACCTTCACTAGGTCAGTTGGGTTGGCTAAAAATTGGCCAATAACACCAGCCATCATCCCTCCAATGACTGATTTCCTAATTGCAGAAGGAGACATGTTTTCTGTTAAAAAGTTGCCAGTGACTTCAACATATTTTATGGTGAACTAGCACCAAACTAGTATAAGCTCTGGGTAAGAATTTAAGACAAAGGGCAGACACAAATACACACAGGAAAAGAAAGTACATGGTTTGATTGTTTATGGCAGGGCTAGTGGACCACAAGGAACAAAAACAAAAATCTGAAGATTCAAGCCTCACATGCCCTGAAATCCACAGGGAAGGCACAACTGCATTAAAGACCTAAGTGCCTGAATAGATAATTTGACTCCAGTTTAATTCTGACTGTAGGAGAATAAAAACAGCATAGATGCAAGCCACCTAACAGATAAAGGCTGGTGAACCAAATGGTGAAAACTACCAGTTTAAGTAGTATCCCAAATGAAGGGGGATTGAAAATATTTCTCTTTCTACAGAAACCTTCCATTGCTAAACAGGTCCTTTTCCCAGCTCAGCCATCAGTGTGCAAGGCCACACTGAATGATTATAATCACACAGAAGGAGCTGGGCCAAAGGATCATACATTTAAACTTCTAAACAATACTTTGTGCTACAAAAAGGCTATAGTAGCTTACATTTCCCCTTATAGTTTGAAAAAGATACTTCTATTAATTTCCCTGATTATTAATAATGCTGAACATTTTTACATCTTTAATAATGAACATTTATATTTCTTTGGGGGGACTATCAATACCTTTTCCTTATTTTTCGATTGTATTCATGCTTTTATTGACTTACTAGTTGGGAGTCTCACATGCATGATTTACACTAACCTATTTCTTTATGTCTCTGTTATAAGTGTTAGGTACTTGCAAATGTTATACTTTCTACAACAAAACAAAAGCCTAACAGGTCTGACTTCTGTAACTATAACACTAAAAGAAAAGCACAGGCAGACCTTCCTCAAGTTCCACAACTGCAGAGTGGGTATCTGAGCCCCTCTTTGCCTGACCCTAAAGTCCAGAGTTCCACAACAGGGAGAAACAAGGCACTTACTCCAAGTCATTAGGGTTCAGAACTGGCAATGACATGATGGCAGTATGAAATCTCACAAAGAGTCACAAAATGGAGAAATATATTATTATAGGGACCAGCTTGAATCAGACAGGGAGTCTAGACATCAAGCCACACCCACAGCTAGGACGCTCAGCCATGGGTGAGGTGAAAGTTAGGAGAGGGACACCTCAGTTAACACCCAAGGGCTCTGTCTCAGCACTGTGCTCTTCCCTTGGGAGACACAGATGCCTAACACTGGGTGCTCACTGTGAAGCCACACAGGAGGGGGCTTATTGAGCAGAAAAGGTGACAAAGAGATGAAGAAGGGATACTGGGAGACCCTAGAGCTGGGCCTCCAAAATGTCAAAGATGGAGGTGACTCAGAGGAACATCAAAATACACAATCCAAGCAGGGTTATTCAACCTACCTTCTTTTTGCCCTCTATTTTAATGTTAAAGTAAAAAATATAAAAAAGGAAGTTTTGTATATACCCATACTATACTATGTATTTTGAAAATTCCTCTTCATTTAAAACCATTAGGGCAATGGGCAGTGGACAATGAGGAAAGATGGTCCGTAGGCTGGACATGCCAGAAATGATAACTTAAGGCAATTTTAACACAAATGTGCAATCCTACATACATACATCACAGGTAAACATACATGCCTTTATAGTGTACAGTACTATTTTCCAAACGAAACTTACCAAAGGGGATAATGCTCATCTTCGTTTTTGCCAAACACAACTTCTCGGAGATGTTCGTAAGTGACCATCCGACCTCCAGAGTACACTGTAAAACAGGTCATTAACAAAAGGCAAATTCAGTTCTTTTGCTTAATAAAGCAAGAGGACATTCTGAGCTAGCATGTCCCTCTATTGCTGTGACACACACCCACCACACAGGGGTTTCTTGGTATTTCTCCAGCTGAGGCAGGGCCCTGTAGGTCTCAGGCCTTTCAGCTCATTGTCTCATCACTCTAAAGTAGCTTCTCTCCTCTCCATTTGTGAACTCTACCATATCTTTCAAGACTCAACTCAAAGAATATGTTTTCCTGCACAATGTATTTTGATATAGCAATAATCAAACTAATTGGCAATCAACTGGTTTTTCTTGCTCTATCAGACATGAGATCCTACAGGCAATTTCTGCTTCTTTGCAGTATATCAAAGGCCCTGGTTCATAGCTTGGTACACAAAGGGATTTTCACTGAATAAGTATATCTAATCTCTTTGAAAAATTTATTTCATTAACATAATTTTTCAGTCAAGTTTCAAACGTGTGAAATGAAAACTATAAGATGATGTGCCAGCAAAACTACAAATGAAAAGAAGCAAAACTCTGAACGATGATGGGAAACAAATATTCTAAAAGATGGAACATCAACTTACTAAAATCAATACATAGTATTCACTCAGTGAGGTTTTCATAACATTTCAGGAAGTTTAACTTTGTATTTTAAGATAATCAAAATATATGACACACCAAACAGTAAACTGTCTCTGTACAATTCTGGCTAGCTTTCGATGAATACACACCAGCTTTCTGATTTACTAATCTTTAAAAATACCAACCCAAAATATTAGAACTCAGCACTTTTCTGACCAATGGTGCTTGCACACCCAAAGAAACGTGAGGTGGAGGAGAAAATGCCACCCTTGTCCAGCCCCTTTAGAAGCCAAGTTTATTGTTCCTGCCCACAAGCTAAGAAGTCAGTAATTTTCAGTGACCTTGGGAGCAGAGGACGATGTGCTTACACTGGCACAGCTGCTGCTGCCCTGCCATGGTTCCCAGTAACGGCCTCCAGACCTAGTTAGGCGGAAGTCACCTGTGTCACATTTAGCGTATGGCTAGTGTTGGCTTGGACAAGGATCCCTGTTCTCTTTCACACCGCCTAGCTACTAATATATGGCACAAAGACTCATGAGACTTGGCATTGTAGTAAACAAGTGATTCTCAAAAGACATAAAACATATTCTGTGTTTAAAGTTTACAAAGTAGAAGATGGTATCCATTGTTGAATCTTTAAAAAATTTTACTATGAAAAATTGCAACATGTAGGGAAGTAGAGAAAATAATATGACAACTCACTTTGTATCTACTATTAAAATTTATCAATTGTTAACACAGTTGCACAATGGGCTTCTTTTTCTCCTTAATTATTTTAAAGTACCTTCCAGACAGCATAATAGCTCGTCCCTCCATATTTTAGTATGCATTTATAAAATCCGAGGGGATTAATTCCTTAACAACAAATTGGTAGTTCCTTTTCTGCCAAAAAGATCATATGCTCCTTGGTTATATGGGTAGGGGAAAAAGGTGCTGGCTAGTTTCTGGATACAGTTTTAAAAAGCAAAGGAGATGAACACAGAACTCATAACAAACTTACCAGCTAGAATCAAGATAAATACCTACGTGTCTGTAAATGGCGGGTGTCACTCCTTGCCAAAGCTTTAGAAAGCCTTCCTCCTGGATGATTCCTAGGGCTGTGCGCATCATGCCCCTATAGGGGGCAGGTTCTCTCGAACTGTCTCCCAACCGTGCCAGAGCGGCTTCTCCTTGCATTTGGAGTCGAGTTTTTGTGAGATCGAGGGGAAAGGTTGCTAACGAAAAAGAACAAATGAGGGGGAAAACCCACAACATTCAGAGAAATCAACAAACAAAAATTCTAAAAGCAGAGGACTAATGTTTTCCTAAGACTGATGAGAGCTTAGAATCATTTGATTCTCGCACACTCAGAAATGTAACACAATTACTGCACCAGATCATTCCAGATTACCAGTAAAAACCAAAAAAGTGACAACACTTGAGTTTTGCATTCAGAAAGTTCAGAATAAAATCCACTTTAAAACTTCATTTGCTTTGCAACGAGAAATAATTTAAAGGACCTATTTTCTGTGATGCACCCCTGACAATAGCCATGACATTTAAGATTTTAGAAGTTTAGAAACCATGCTATATATTCTTATTTACTACAATGAACACAAAGTCATCCATAATTTCATGGATGACTTCCTTTTTTGGTACCAAGAATCAAACTCAGGACTTCCCACTTGCCAGGCAGGAGCTGTGCCACTGAACTATATCCCTGGTCCTCATGAGTGACTTTCACATGCCAATGAATCACGGACCTGATGTGTGTGGTATGGAAGATATGTTAAGATATTATAACATTTTCTTTCATATACAAGGATAGCATGCTCAGTATTCTTTCAGTTAAGTGATATATTGAATTGTTTTTCCAGTATTGATAAGTTTTGTGTATGACCTTCTAAAGGTGTTTGTAAAAACTGTTCATATTTTGAATTAAAGATAGATCTTTTATTGTAGAACAGTTAAACTGCCTGACCCACATAAGGAATGCCAAGTTCTTAACTGTATACAATGTCCTGATAACTAAAATAACGACATTCAGGTAACTTTGTGAACATTACTGACATTATATAAGACTTTTCAATAGGCATGCTTTCTCTAAGAGAAAATAGAACAAGCAGAGGGGCAAAGTATATTAAATCTTACTGCTTGCTTTGGAAAGTTAATATCTTGCCAAAAGTTTCCCTAAAAGAAAAGTAGCTTGTATGTAGAAACTTAAAATAATTTTGTATTGCATATGAATGTAAAAAAAAATAAAAGAAGTAGAAACCTCTGTTTAAGCATCAATGAAACCTCTCAAGCTAATTTTTTCCTTCTTTTGGGTTAATTCATGTTTCAAGTTCTTATCCTAAATTAGTTTGCACTCAGAACCATCCCATATTTTGCTTTTCTGCCCCCCCCCCGTCCACATACTGCACACAATTCTCTCTGTGAATTTTTAACAGGAGGAATGTTCTTGTATAAAAGCCACTTAGTCACAGGAGAGAAACAGCAGTTTTTTAAAAACCTGAAAATACATCTATTACTCAGCCATCTGATTTTAGATTTCTTTAACATCTGATGAACTTTGTTTCAGTAAGAACAATGAAAAGTAAAAATTTTCCATTAGCTTGGAGAGGAAATGGAAAAACCAGAAGCCTAAAGGCAAGAATGGAAGAATGCAAAGGATGAAACAACAGAACATGAGCTGGCTATGGTAGAAGAAGAAAATAAAATCGTATTAGATAGACTGACATGTATTTACAAGTGACAAATGCATCAGATATGCACCTTATTTCTTTTCTTTTTGATGAGCAAGGAAATGTACAAATAATTTTGAAATACACAGATAAAACACTCTACTCACAAATCCCTAGGAAGAAACACCACTGGCTTATGTAAGGGCACCATAATCCCACTCTAAGTGGTCCCAAGTTTTCTATGACTCAGGGAGATACGACTGTTTTGAGTTCTTATGAGACCTGAAAATAGCTTCATCATAAGTGGTACACTGCAATTGTCTCTCTTTGCATGTCTCTCCAACTGCCTGTAAGAAGGCCAAATCAGGGTCTTTTCATTCATTACCCATACCCTAGTCCTGTAGTATTATTATCATGTCACAATCCATTGGTGCCTTGCCTTGGATTTAGCATTTATATATTCTTGACTGCTCAGTAATCTCCCTTAAAATAAACAGGTAATGGATGAGTTCAACTCAAAGAGGTCAGGAGCTGCTCAGTAGTGAATGGTTAATAACTGAAATCCCACAAGGCAGGTCCACAACTTGGACCCAAAAGGCACAGAGATCCCACGACAGAGATGTTACCAACAAGTATGAAGAGTAGATGGTTTTTAAAAGGCTCAAGGCAAGATGATTGCAGGGGAGCGTGTAGAAGTTCCCACCAGGCACAGGAGCACTCCTGAGGCTCCTGCGGACTCGAAAGAAAGAAGGCAGACCTGCAAGGACTTAGGCCTGTACCTGCCTCGGCCTTTTCAATCCAGGGGGCAAAGCTCGGGCGCCTCCATCCTTTCCTCCCTCTGTTCCTCCCTCCCTCCATCAATCCATCCACCCTCCGCCATCTCCCCACCCCTTCTTCTCTCTACATTCCTTCATCCCACCACCCATTCCTCACCTCTCCATCCCGCCATCCACGTTCCATCCTTCCATCTTTCCCTTCACCTTTCCTTCCTTCCGACCCTCCCTCCTTTCATCCATTCCGCCTTAACTCCATCCACTCCTCCATTCTCCCTTCCATCCATTCTTCCACTTCTGCATCCCTCTACCCACTCCTCCTTCCATCCCTCCCTCCGTCTATCCCTCCGTCCTTCTCCATCCTCCCTCCATTTCTCCCTCGACGATGTTGTAGCTGCCCGCTGGAAGCCCATACCTAGCTCGGCCACGGTAGCCGCGCAGCCTGACAGCAAGAACTTGCTCGCCCGGGGCCATCGCTGCGCGAGCGGCGATGACGAGTCCTCGTCTTCTGGGACGGACATGCAGCGAGATGGGACAGCGGCGCGAGACAGCGGGTCGGCAGGTGCCTAGGGACATCGCCCCTTGCTGCTGCCGGCAGAGTAACGGTCCAGCTCGGTGCCCGGACGCTGGGGGCTTCTGGGAGTTGTAGTCTTTAGACTGCGCATTCCGATTCCCCAGACGGTGTCGCCACGGTAACCGCGCATGCGCACCTTGCCTGGCTGACAGTCCTTTTACTGGATTTGTAAAAGAAGCGGAAGTGGGCGGGAGTGAGGCTGCTGGAGGCCCAGCTGTGTCTAGGGAGGGTCGAAGAGGTAGCCGGCGAAGGATTTCTGTGGGTAGTGCTTTGGCCACAGGCTGCACGACTGTGGAGCCCTGGACAGGCCCAGTCGCCCGCACTTTTAAGAGGATGAGCGAGGACCTGGACCTGGGCGTCGCCGCGGTAGCCGCGCTCCTGGCGGGAGTCGCGCTGCTCGTAGTCCTGAGGCGCAGAGGCTCGCGCCGACCCCCATGCGCCACGGGCTGGATCCCCTGGGTCGGCGCGGGGCTGCGGTTCGGGAAGGCCCCACTGGAGTTCATCGAGCAGGCTCGGGCCCGGGTAGGTGGCTTTCTTTCATTGTCTCAGGTGCAGGGCAGGACACCGGGAACACACTTGCACTCTAGTTTATTTACTCCTCTGCTGGAAATTAGCAGCCTCTTCCACGCCAGGTTTGGGGAAAGATATGAAGTCCAGTGGAGAGGATGAGGGGAGCAGATTTTTTTAAAAATTACATACATATACCAACTCCCCGTGAGAAATGTGGTCATTATGCAGTAAAAACAGATACCAAAAAAAATTTAAAGAAATCAACTTCAGTTTGGGTCTGCTTTATTAGAAATAGAAAATATCTTTTAAAATGCTAGTTACTTCGGCATAGTTAAATTCTGGGTGCACGAAGGTTAACTAAATGTTTGCAATAATTTGGAAGAACAGAAGTGTACAATTGGAATTGTGACAATGAATAATAAATCCATACCCAAAACTGAGTTAACATGAGAGTATTGTCAAAATTACTTCCAAAGTTGATCTTTACAAATTTCAGGGGCAGTGTTCTTTCAGCTAGTGTTGTTTTCGATGACAGTGAGCCTATAATTTCACTGCTCCCCAAAGACATTAGGAATGGTCGTTGGAATAGATGTTTTTGTCCTTTAAGAATCTTTCCAGTGCCTGAGCACTTTAGGAAAAAGACATATTAGCCTTTCAATTTTAATCCGACTTCGAGACACCAAGATTTTGTGGTATTTGGTTATGTAATAAATTTATAAGATACTATCATCATTAGTATAAGTTGTGTTATAATACTTTATAAGTTGACACATTCTTCACGTATGTTCCTAGTTAACTCAATTTACATAATAATTTTATACACAGAATCATATATATTGTTGATCATTTGTACTGAAAATCTAAGTTTTCAGTGTACAGTAGATTTTTAAAAAGTTAGAGAATTCCAAAGAGAACTAAGATGACAATAAAAGTAACCCAAATGTCACATTAAAAATAAAACAAATTAAAAATTTAGTGGGTAATATCTTGGCTTTTTTTCTATAAAGCTAGTTAGTAAACAATGGAATAGTATTATAATACTATTTTATATACTTTCATATTTAACATTTAATGTGAATAATTTTGCCATGTTATTATTTATGTGAATCCTTTTAGTGGCTGTATTTTATCACTTGAGGATATGATAGTTAAATCCTTAATTGGGATATATAGGTTTTCATCAACTTTTTCTGGTTAATAGCCATTCTTTTCATTGTTGTCAGGAATCAAACTCACAACGTCCTGCTTGCCAGGCAGGCTCAGGCTCTGTCCCACTGATCTATATCCCTGACTTGATGTCTATTCTTGCACATGTATGTGATTGTGCATTATGCACTTTACCTGATTATTTCCTCAAAATAAATTCCTAAAAGTGGAATTGCACACTTTATTTATATTATTGTGTTACCCTTGTAAAAGATATGTGATATATGCTTTTTACTATCCCTTGGGTGTAAGAACTGTCTGACTTCTCATATTGCGGTCTGCCCTGGATACTAACTTTCTATAACTTGCTAGTCTGATAAATGAAAAAAAGCTCTTTTCTAAAGAAATGTTCTTTTGTTCCCAATAGGCACATGACTTTAATAACTCTTAAAGAATTTTTTTTTTGCCAGCTTGTCTCAGATCAAATATTTGTGAGTTTTTTGTCACTTTCCTGTTTAAATGAAACAAGTTACATGTGTCTGCTGTCATATGGAACAGTATAAATGATCTTTCTCTAGTACTGAACTAAAGAATATGGCAACACTACGTGTGTTTGGCTGCTGGAAGTTTTTAGCAACCTTCCCCTTGTATCCCTCACCTTGGCAGGATGATAAGAAAAGGTGGGCACTCTTGCCATGGGTGCCAGGGGAGACTTAAACGACAGAAGCCCCAGCTCTCAAGCTAGAAGAGGTGGTCCATGGACCTACTCCCTACCATCGTGAAACACCCAGCCCAGTCGCTTCCTCAGGCTGTTTTCAGATCAGGGTCAGAGGCCAGCCACCCTAGTCCCAGCAGGGCTCTGCTATGTAAATAATAAATGTGTATATGTGACATCATCAGTCTCAACATGTGAACCAGGTTCGGGGTGAATGGATGGGTAGAGTTCATTCTGCTTTTTTTTTTTTTACAGTTGTTGCAGTGGGTTTTACCTAGCAGCCTTGATGGAAAATTGCATCTAAATGGCAGTTATGAAAGACACAGTTGACGCACTTTGAACTTTCAAGAAATGACTCCTAAAATTCTGTCATAAGCTGTCATCTTCAGCTTTTTCTGGCCATGGAGAAGGGAGAGAAAAGAAAATTTTGATGACCACAGAAGTTTCCCCTTTTGTTTTTATTAATCTCTGTTTTTGTATGTGTACAGAGAATGAAATTCAGGACCTCAAGCTTGCCAGGCAGGCACTGTGCTGCTGAGCTGTGTCCTTGGCCTCTTAAATGTATTATGAGTTCACAGAGTTTAAAAAAATGTTAAATATAACAAACTGAGTGAAAAATCTCTCTGACCTTTCTTCTTCCACTCAGTTCTTATTCTTCATCTCTAACCTTGATAGCACAGTGATTCATTACATATCCTTTTATCTTTTCTTGAACCCTATACAAGCAAATTCATTTATAGATTTTTATTTTTCATCTTTTATAAGCAGACTGTATCATACCATTCACATTGTTCTTGTGTCAAAAATGCTGAACCCTTCATACCTTCATACTATTAGAACTCCTAATTCTCTTTTCTTTTTAAATGCATGGATTATTACTTAACAGGTTTCTAGATTAATAAATGTTTGGTAGTCAGATTTCTCAAATAACCCATAGCAGCTCCCACCTGCTGCTGCCTATTCCTTTTGCAGTTACCTCCCCCTGGATGTTGGCAGATCCCAAGAACTCACCTGAAAACTCACTCACTGATGAATCTAATGGCGTAGGTGCCATTTGGATGGAAGACCCTGTCACCTGCCCCACTTGCAGACTCTAATCACAGACTGCCATGTTGGGGGGCCTGAACAGAGAGACCTCAGTCTTCAACAGCAGAGAGCTAAGACCTTTAGTGGCCTGTGAAAAACCAAATCCTGCACCCACCACATCAACCTGGCATGGCTCCTACTCGTTGACCTTTAAGATGCCTGGGGTCCAGTCTTTAGTAAGTTCTATCAACAGAAAAGCCATGCCTTGAAAACCTGATACCTTGAATACAGAAGATTTTGTTTAAATCTCAGACTGTGTTTGGTTATGTCAATCTTATGATACAGTTTATAGCTTTTCTTCCCCCAGTATTAACGATTGAGGCAAAGGCACTGAACTAAAGCCCCAGTCCATCCATCATCTCTTCCCTACCCCTTTCTCTCTTTCTCTTTTGAGGCAGGGTTTCACAGAGTTGTGAAGTTGCCCAATCTAGGATCAAAATTTATATCCTCCTGTCTCCACCCCAACAGTGTGTTACAATTGCAAGCAGGCACCAATATGTCACAAGCGTGGTTTATAATTTCTTAAGCATGAAACTTTGATAAAATCTCTGGGACTTTTCCTGGGAAGGTGAAGGTATATTGCTTATACTTGTCACAGGTTGCATATCTGCAGTTGAAATTATTTATTTGTTGACACATTGGAAACACTATTTGGAAACACAGTGTTCCAAAGTGCATAGACCAAGATTGGGTGTTTTGAAAAAATTATATTAAATGAACAGCTTATATAAACTCTTGGGATAATCTTGGCACAGTTATGCATCATGATTTTTCAACATTTTATTTAAAAATCAGCTGGCAAGCAGCTCTCCATAAGGCAGAGTTCCCTACAGCAAATGGCTTAATTAAACAACTTCTCCTGTCTCCCCACTGCAGCAGCCATTGTCAAGGATACCTGCTTGCCAATCCAAGAGGGAGTTGATGGCCTCATCTGTAATAATTAATCTATCTTGAGTTAAAATATTTCAGTTCCTACAACTTTCTTTTAGTTCATATTTGCAGATTGCATCTTTATCTCTTACTTTCAACTGTTTTTGAGTGTTTGTATTTTAACTTGGTCTCTTAAAAATAAAAAATACATTGAACTGAGCAAGGCATGTTGACACACACCTGTAATCCCAGCTACTCAGGAGGCTGGGGCCACAGAATTGCAAGTTCAAGGCCAGGTTGGGCAATCTAGTGAGATTCTATCTCAGAAAATAAAAAGGCCTGGGGGGATGCACCTGAATGGTAGAGTACCCCAAGGTTCTGTTCCCAGTACCACAAAAATAAAGTAAGAATAAAAATACAACACATCAGAAATGTTATCACTGAAGTATTTGTATTAGGAAAGTGGAAAAGTCTAAATTCAATAATCGGACCTTCTTTCTCAAGAATCACCCCTGAAGAGCAATATAAACCTGGAGCAGTGACAGGAAAGAAATTTGCAAAACAGAAATCAATGACTTAGAAGTAAAAAAAAAAAAAAATAAAGAGAATTAATGAAAGAAAGAATGGGCTATTGGAAAAGATCAGCAGTGTTGCCAGACTTTGTGCAAAATCCTTAGAGAAAAAGAGAGAGAAACTACAGATCGTCGGTAATAGAAATGAAATGTGGGGACATCATTTTAGATTCCCAGACAACAGCAGAGCAGTAAGGGAATACTGTGAATAGCTCACGTGTATCAATTCAACAGCTTAGAGAATGTGGAACAGCTTATGGAGAAACATAACTGCCACAACTATTTGATATGAAATAGATAATTTTAGTAGACTACACCACTAAGGAAATTGGATTTGTAATTTAACCCCCTCCCCCAAAATTCTGTAGGCCTACATTGTGTTACTTTGGAATTACATCAGATATTTAAAGAAGTGATGGCAGTTCTACAGTATCTTCCAGAAAATAGAAGAGTTATTCCGAGTGTATTTTATATAGATAGCATTACCTTGGTATCAATCCAAAGACAGTACAAAGAAAATTACAGATAAAGAGATGTAAACATATATATGCATACATGTATACCAGCAAATAAAATTCAGCAATATTTCAAAGGATTTACCAGGAGGAGTCCATTGCAGAGATGCAAGACCTTTCAGGACTGGAAAATCAGCATAAGCCGACTCTATAGAAGAAAGAGAAAATACACAATTGTATCAATTGGTGCATAAAAGCCTTTAACAAAACTTCTTATTTATGATAAAACGACCAAATTTTTTCAAAACTGGTACTAGAGGGGAGTTTTCTCAGCTTGATCATAAACATCTACAAAAATTTGATGGCTAATAGGAGACTAAATTTTTCCTGTATGATTGGGAAGAAAACAAAAATTTCATTTAATCACTACTCTTACCAGCACAGTGCTGGAACTTTCAACTAGTGCAGTCAAACGAGGGAAAGAAAAGACACGATGGTAACATGGGGCAAACAGTTGTGAGTATGTGACATCTCGATAATACTTCCTGTGATTGCTACAATTAATCTGTAATTATCTCAAATAGTTGAATTGAAAACTACATGAATCTAGGGATTGTGGCACATGCCTGTAAGCATAGCACTCCCGGAGGCTGAGGTTTTGAATCTCAAATTTGAAACCAGCCTGAGCACTTCAGTGACTTAGACCCTATCTCAAAACCAAAAAACAAGTGGCCCTTTAAAAATCTACTGTGTTTGTTTACCCTTGTTTCATAATACTCAGAGTGCCCAAGGAAAGGAGAACCAAGAAAAACAAAATTCCCAAGACCTGCTGCTATAGAATTTATCACTTGACCCATGACCATTTTTCGTTGTGCATTTGTATTGCAGTAAGAGTGACTTGAAAGCCACATACCAGCAGCCATCTGAGCTGGTGAGTGTGTTTGAGCTTAATCTGCACTTGGGCCCTCTACCTATCCATGTTGCAGAAGCCCAGTCTCCTAACGGGAAGTTAATTCTCTTGCAAACAAAACTTGAACAATACATATGAGTGTGAGTATTGATTAGTAGCAACTGTAGAGAAGGTCAAATTGGGGGTCAGTGTAGGTGTCTGGCTCATGAGTGTAAGAAAATGAGACTTTATCGAGGCCTTCAGTGGCCAGTGTCACCCAACAGTGGATGACAGGAGAAATCATCTGCCATCCTATGGGTATGATAGAAGTGACTAAGACTGAGGTAGTGATGAGCATAAATGATGTTTGGAGACCTTTATAGTGACTGTCGTAGTGTGTGAATGCGTGATAGTTTCTCTTGATGATATGTGGTTTATTACCTACTTTCATAATTGGAGAAAATGCTAAAAATAGTTAGAAGTTAAGGAAAATGACTTCCTGGAAAACAGCTGGCAATTTTGCTTCTTTTCTTGAGCAGCGTTGTGCTATAGGTTATGTATCAGCCTACTGATAAATTGAAAACAATTCAAGGATCACAATGTTGATGGATTTCCAATTGTTACTTGTAATTATTTTCTAATAATTATTTCACCTACAAGAAAGGAAAATATACATAGATAGTAATACTATCTCATAAACATTCTTAGGACAGTAAAAGTTAAGATTTACATCAGTTTAATGTCTGCATTTATAATTAATTGCTAGATACAACCCTGTTTGTTTGACTAGAACTTCACTTTTGGGGTTCTTTATAAAAACTGCCTTAGATCTAACCCCTGGCTTAGAAATGCTAGCATTCTCAGTGTTTGTTTATGTGTTTTCTTGCAGTATGGGCCAGTATTTACAATCTTTGCCATGGGGAACCGAATGACCTTTGTTACTGAAGAAGAAGGAATCAATGTATTTCTCAAATCCAAAGAAGTAAACTTTGAATTAGCAGTACAAAATCCTGTCTACCATACAGGTAAAGAGTATTTTCAAATAGGGCATTTGAAGTAAAACTATGGAATTCAAGAGTAGTTTTAGGTAAAAATTATATTCTCTAAATTTATTCTTTGATATGTATTTTTTCAATACCAGAGATTGAGCCCGGGGTTTTGCTCTGAGCTACTTTTCCATCCTTTTTAAATTTTCTTTTTATTTTGAGACAAGGTCTTTCTATGTTGCTGAGGCAGGTTTAAACTCAAGATTCTCCTGCCTCAGCCTCCCACAGTCCTGGGATTATAGTCATACGTTTTGTTATTCTTGAGGTTAGGCTAAAAGAAGGAATGAATGTGAGGGGACTGAAAAGCCAATTATCGGTAGCTGAATACAGTTAGATTTCAAGTGGACTTGAGAACGAGATGGGTTTACACACCAATCAGTATTTTTTGAGAGAGTATTTGGAATCTGCACCACATTGCAACCTGCAGGATTCTTCAGTCTCTGTTCTTCTGCTGTGTGTACAGTTGTGCATAGGCTGCGGCTCTTGCTTGGTTCTCTGTTGTGACTCTGCTTCCTGCAGGTACAGTTCTCCTGCTTGGAAAGCCCGTTAGTGTGTCTTTGCCACTGAGCTATGATCCCAGTCCTCTTGTGGCTTTTTCTGACATTCCGCATAGGGCTGCACAGTAAGCCGAGCCTTGACTTCCCCATCCACGAGTTCTGCCTCTTAATTTCGGCACTGCTGGTAATAACTGGTGAGCATGCTGCCATGTGGCCATCGGACTTCAGCCTTTCCCGGGCTGCACATGTGTGAGCTAAAGCCTCATGCCCTCCACAGATGCAAAGCTGGCCCTGGCTCTGCCTTCTCACTAGGCTCCCACACACTGTGCCTTCTCTTTCTCCATCTCGTGTTCTTAGGTCTCTTGGTTTCTTTTCACATAGTCTCTCCTGTGTTTCTTGCCATTGAGAGAAAAAAGTTTCAAGTCTATCAGTGATTGATACCATGATTATTTTTTCTTCTTGCTTGCATGCAGATCTTAACACATAGGTTAAATTCTTTGTTTAACACTGTTGACATATGGGCTATAGAAATCTTGACCAAGGAGCACAGCTACTCTGAGGACTTTTGATCCACTTATAACACATCCCTTACCTATTACTGGTGTGTGGAAACCAGCAGGCTTTTCACCTGTGCCCTCTCTGGGGCCTTCCACATTTAAATATTTCTAAATATTGAATATTTATTTAATAGATGAAATGTGTGAACATTGTCTCTTGAGCTAATTTCTCATCCCTCCCCTAAGTCCTGCCCCACAGAGAAGATTTGAAGATGTATTCCTCATTAATTTATATAAAATTAATACACAGAATCTGTACATAACAGAATGAAGAAATAGGAAATTTAAAAATGTGTTTTGAAAAAGTTTCTTGAAAGATAATAAAACGAGATGAAAGAAATTAGTTTAAAAAAAATAAGCTTACATTCCCACCACCTCTGTCTAACCAGAAGTGTGTATCATAGAAGGAACACAAACACTAAAACAAAGGAAAGAGGCGGGTCAGAGTTACTCATGGTTAAGAAACACTTCTTATGAAAATAATATGCAATGGAGGAATAAATAGAAATTGGCAGGAAGTATTTGGCTGATGAGTGTGGGGATCTGGGGTAGGGCTTGGGCTGGTAAAAGGGAGGGTGGTAAAAGCATCCCGAGGAGCTTCTGAATTTGCTGGGAAATGTGAAACACTACGTAGCTGTGATATACCTGGGACACAGATTTGGAAGAGGGGGCCGCATTCTCTATACCCATTTGTACATCTTCCCATAGAGCAAGTCACCCTGTAGATATCAGTATCCAAATCTAGGTGGAATCTTTGTCCACTTTATGTGCAGAAGGTGATTGTGTGTACTGGAAGGATGTTGGAAGGTCCTTACTGACCCAATAAGGGTAGAGGTATAGTGAACACTTCTAGGGGTTGTGACTTATTTTGAAAATAGTTTTCTCTATTTATAGCATCAGTTCCAAAGAATATCTTTCTAACACTGCATGAAAAACTCTATATTACAATGAAAGGGAAAATGGGGACTTTCAACATGTGTCAGTTTACAGAGCAACTGAATGAAGAATTCCATGAACAATTAGAAGATTTAGGCCCTCATGGGACAATGGACCTGATCGGTTTAGTAAGGTAATTAGATGCTTTAGTATCTTTTAACCTTTAATCTTCAAATACAACCAAAACTATCACACTGGGTTTCACAAATTACCTGGCAGATTAGAAGTTTGCTTAATGAGGTTAAGTGATTTCTCTAAGTCTTTTAAATTCTAATTAATAGGCAGTTCCGCTCCTGGTACACAAATAAGCCGGGACAATCATTTTAATGCAGTCATTTCCCTTAGTCCTTCCAATGGCTTTGCGTGTTCCACCTGTATTTGCCTCACCTAATCACCATACACTCAGTGCAGTTCATGATCAGTGGGATGGGGAGACATGGTGGGGCCCGGGAGAGAATGGAATCCTTATGTGAAGACAGAGCTCTGAAAAGCTCTGTGCAGCTCAGGCCAAGTCACTGTGGGCCTCTAGACTGAGTCCTCCAACTGTCCTGGCAGGGAGGTCCCAAGAGATAGGAGAGCTGCAGGGGAGCAGGAGGGAGCAGTCACATCCTGAAGCTTTCTAGAAAAGCCGTAACACAGAAGGCATAGTTTCAGCCATTAAGATCCAAAACAGAATGCTGATTAGTGTGATTTTAGAGGTGGTAGTTGGAGGAGGAAGCAGAAATAACCAAGCCACCTTAAAATTTGCCAAAGCATGTCCAGTATCTGTAAGGGAGCAAAGTAATCCCTGAGTATTTTTGAAACCTTGGGGGAAAGAGAACCTGAAGGAATGATACGTATCTTCTATGCTATCTTTGATATAAAAATACTTATTTTTGAATAGTGACTATCCCTGAATATCTTTGATATTCTTTAATTGTGCCACAATGATCACTTCATTCGTGTACAGTAAAAATCACTGAAAAGTGCTATATTTCAGTGCACGTCGGGACTCTGTGAAGGATTAGGAAATTCCATGACCAGTGCTGCCTTTGCTTCTCCATTCAGTTATTGCTCACTGCTACCCCAGGCATGGACGGTGCTTTAGCTGTTGTTAGTATTTTCTAAATGAATGCTTTTCAAACTTATTGTATCAGTTTATTTCTATTTGTCAGCATACGTTTGCTTAGAGGGATTTTTAAATCTTAGGTAATTAAGACCACGATTTCAGTTCTCCCTGAATGGTTTTGACCACAGTTAACAAATATTAAGACCCCTCCAGACAGACTTCCCCCCGAAGGGTCGGCCACGCGTTACCTACGCGTAGTTGGTCACTGTGGCCCAGTGCCCTCCCTGTGTCTGGCAGCTGCTTCTTCGGCCGGGGGTCTGAACTACGTGTGTTTCTGTCTCCACAGGCGTCTCCTCTATCCCGTCACAGTGAACGTGCTTTTTAAGAAAGGCATGTTTCCCTCACACAAGAGGGAAACTGAGGTCTTCTGCCAGCATTTTCAAACTTACGATGAGGGTTTTGAGTACGGATCCCAGATGCCAGAGTGGCTACTGAGGTAGGGTCCTGTTCTGTGATTAACCCACTGGCCCCATTCACCTCAGCAACCTGTGCACTACTCGGCTCCCTCGCAGGTAGATGTGACACCAGCTCATGGGACAGAGAAGCGACTTCTGCCTCCTTTGTGTTTGCTCAGTGTGCTGGTGTAAACTGAGAAGGAACAGACGAGAGACGTGCTGCGTCCTCTTCCTGTTTCTCCTGAACGAAATGAGAGGACTTATTCCCAGGCTTTTCCACCCTGACGAGAGCTGGTCCACTTGGGTCCTGCTCAGCCATCAGAGTGACCACCCAGCATGTTCTCTCTGAGCAGAGGCTGGGGTACCCAGGTGTGTTTCCACAGCTGGCTCAGATGGACACTTGTGAAATGATTTTTACTTTCTAATCTCTTGGAGATTGTTGTATGTGTCAGTCTGTTCAGATTGTATGTTAGAACTCCAAGCCTTGTGGCTTCAGGTGGGGCAGCCTGAGGCCTGGGGAGAAGCAGGGTTGTGCTGGGGAGGGGTGACTTCCTAGCATCCCACTGCTAGTTTCACTGTGTGTCCCTGCACACAACACCCCTGCCAGGGTTTTTTCCAAGTGTCCAATCTCCATGAGGGTTTCGTGCTTACCTGGAATCACTGTGTAAAGACCCCCTGCTAGTACACCTTGAGAACTAAAGTTTCAGCTTATAGTTGATACTGGTCACTGTTCAGAGAGGACTGGAAGCTGAGAGCCACTTTGCCTGGCTTCATCCAGCAGCTCATGTCTGCACCGGGCTTTCATCTGTCCCAACTGACAGCAGCCACAAGAGGAAATTGAGGTCAGGGAAATAGCTCAGTGGCACAGCACTGCCTGGAAAGTTCAAGGTCCTGAGTTCAGTTCCTGGTTGAAAAAAAGGCAGTTGAGCCAGTGGTCACCTGTATTCTTACTCAGTACCAGTCCATTAGGAATCTAAGTGTTTCCTTGCAGAAGACATTCAGATGTGGTGACCTTCACCCATCAACTGTCCTTCTGGACCAAGTTCTAAAGGGAAACCTGTAGAGCATTGTGCTTGAAAATGAAGACTGGATGTAGGGAAAGAATTGTAACTCCACAGACTCCCCCTTTGATTCCTTATTTTTCCCTATACACTTTCGGATTAATTTTTGCACATCTTTTTTTTTTCTCACACAGAAACTGGTCAAAATCCAAAAGGTGGCTCCTAGCACTATTTGAGGAAAGCATTCCAGATATAAAAGCATACAAACCTAAAAAGGCTGATTCTGTGGTGAGTATTCCTTAGCTGCTTTTCTTAAAGTATATGTGGAGACAGAAATGAAATATGACAGCTGAGAGTGTTTGCTGAGAAAGGAGTTTGATAGTGCAAGTTCAACATCATAAGTTCAATTCCTGGTTCAAAATTTGTGTGCCCCAATTTGGGGCTACCCTGGACATGCTTGCGTACAGTCGTTTGTCATTGGCAGTGTTATTCCAAGTCTGTGTGTCTTCCACTGAGGTCTGGATCAACCCTGGCTCTGCTCTGGGATAAAAGGAAGCTGCACGATCTCTTGTTTATAGCACTTTGACCTATAGCCACGGTTTGACCATACTTATTTCTTTTAAACAGACGTTAATGCAGGCTGTGCTGGAGGTGGTAGAGGGGGAAGCAGATGGGCACGGTGCGAACTACGGGCTCCTGATGCTGTGGGCCTCTCTGTCGAATGCTGTTCCTGTAAGTGTACAGTCATGTATGGAAGTAGAGTGTGTGTTTGTGTCTGCTGGTGTTTTCTTCGTTTTTCCCCTACCCCTTCATTTACTATAGAGAAAGAAAAACACTGTAGCTGATTCAGTTGTGAGATACAAAGCAAAGCAAAATGCCCACTGGAACCTGCCTGAGTCACGTAGGAGGCAGAGGCTGTCCCAACTCTTCAGAGCAGCGCCTGGCAAGGAGAAGCTGGCCTGGGCACTGGCTGGCACTGACCTGCTAAACGAGCCTTTCCTGTGTGGGCAGTGTGCTAGGTGTTAGTGCAGCAAGATCAATGAGGCTCAGCTCCCACCAGAGATTAGTGAAAAAGTAGGGGAGTGAACAGTGTCAGCCAGAGTCAGGCTTAAAGCCAGACACCCAGCTGGAGCTCTGGAGTGTTAGGGTGCTAACTGGAGTTATTTATTCCCTGATTGGTAACAGAGAGAACAGATGCAAAACTGCCACTGTAGGCCTGGACCCTGGGACCCACTGACCTGCATGGTTCCATTGCTCTGAAAAGTCAAGAAGGCTCCATGGACCAATCCCACAGGTGCTCAGTGACTTTGAGCCATTCTCAGTCTGCACGCACATCATTCGTGTCACCAGGCCTCTCAGTCCTGTCTTCCCCAGGGAGAGGCTGATGACATGAATTTGCCATCTCTCTAAAGACAGCAAAGGCTTTTAACAGTGTCATGTCCTTTCCTTTTCCTCTTTTCTTCTCCCTTCCGCTCCTCCATCCTTCTCCCCTCTTCTTAATCCCCTTTCCTTTTCCAAAACAGCCTAACTGAACCACATCATCAGTCTTTTCTTTTTTTTGAGACAAGATCTTGCTAAGTTGCCCAGCCTGGGTTCAAATCTGCTACCCTTCTGCCTCAACCTCCCCAAGTGCTGGGATCAGAGACATGTAGCACTAAGCCTGGATAGAACTGGTTTTAACGCTACTCTGAGCTTTAATAGAGCCACAAAATTTATTGCCTCTTTTGTTCCATCCATACCAGTTTCCGGGGTCAGAAGCCTCTCACATTAGCCTCACCTGCTCCCTATGTCCTGTGAAATTAAAGTGTAATCTTTTTTATATATTTGTTATCTACTAAATAAGAACATTCATTTATCTCTAGTGATAACGGTGACCTTTTTTTCCTTTTTCATCTAATAAAAATAAGGAAAATGTTTTAAGGATTATATATTTGCCATTCCCCTTTCTGAAGACCTAATACCTTAGTTTCCTATAACCTACTGTAAAATTTATTAGGTAAAGAGCAGAGGAGAAATTTTGGCCTCTTTTCTCCCAACATGTGTCACCCATAAGACTATAAATGTCACTTGGGGTGGACAAGAACGAATAGTCTAATCCCTTTCCCTGTTTTATGTTCTTCCAATATAATTCTCTGATCTTTCTTAAGTAATTTGCTTGGAAACTGATTAAGCTATGGCAGCACTGAAAAGCAAACCTTAGAACAACTCCCAGAGTAGCAGTGGAACAGCCACTTCTTTCAGGGATTAATTTCCAAGATTTCATCAAGAAGGTTCCCTGAATGGGGACAAACTGCCAAAGCCCCACTGATCTGACTCGGAGGAAGTCAGTGCTTTCACTGTGTCCCTGGCACTGGGTGAAGAGACCGAGATCCTTCATCCCGGAAAGCAAGTGTCTGGTGATAAGTGGAAGTCTGTCCCACCGCCGCTTCCCAGCCCTGCTGAGGGCAGCCTGGTGATGAGGCTGCCTCTGAGGATTGCACTGGAAGGGTGGCAGGAGGCTCGCAGGGCCGGGCACAGCACCAGTGCTTAGCACATGTTCATTTTCTTCCCTCACCACGCTCACTGCCCTGGTTTCAGTCAAGGATGGGGCTTCCAGCACCCCGAGGACAATGAATGGAGCTAGTCCTGGCCTTCCCACGCTCAACTGCTCGAGTAGCTCCTCTGTCCAGGCTTTTATTTCTTGCATCACAGCCGAGGGAGCTGCTGAAGCCCTGCCAGAGGCACGCTGTGGTCTTGGTCGGGCCTAGGTGACATCCCTATTTCCTTCTCCTTTGTCCTCTGCCTTGAGACTGCAGGGCTCAGCCCCAAGGTTTCCTGTGGGCTGAGTATTGTCCTTGGAGGTTACCATGACCTCATTATGCTTTGAGACAGTAATTGTCATACAGGAAGTGATTTCTATGAGAAGACCACTCCTGGACTGAACTTCTTAAGAGCATTGCTCCAGCTATTCTGAAAGCTGATGTTTCACCCTTCGTACCTGCTTCCTCTCCCAGATTTTCTCTCAGGACTTCAGGAGCAATCCCCAGTTTACGCCACCTCAGCTCCCACAGCAGTTTTGTACAGTGGCCTGTCACTGTGTGCCTCACATCCCCAAACAGAGAGGCAAGTTCTTGGGGTAGAAGTTGTCCTACAGTATTTAAGTTGACCACGATGGGTGCAGACCTGCCCTACCTCAGAAGCTCTCTCAGTGATCATTTAAATCTATTTCTGGGTGCATCAGGGAAAGACCCCAAGGTCACACTCAATCTGTTTTCTCCTGACCCAGCAGGGAGCTGAGCTTTTCTCCTTGTCCTTCCCCTCCTGTCCTGAATGATGGGCAGTTGTTTCTGCAGCCAGGGAACCATGCCCCTCCACATTTGTGCCCAGCTGTGGCATAGAATCCACCCTTCTGGCCAAACCCCAGTTGGTTGTGTTGGGAGCAGCAGATCTGCCCGCTTCCCAGACGGGAACACATTGACCCCAGGGCTGCTTTCCTGCCTCCTAATTTTGTATCACATACAAACATTTTACCAACTCCCACTCTCTTCACATGCTTTTTCTCATTTTTAAAAAGTACTATGGTTTTCTAAAGTAGAAAAGATCATAATTTTTTTTTTTAAAAAAAGAGAAATCTGTTCAGAAAAGAGAGGTCTTAAAGTGGGAATTTAACACCACTACACAACCATATGTAGTTCAGATCCCTGTGTTTATCAAAAACAAAGCCCAATTTCAGTAAATCTTCAAATCTACAAGTAAACATGTACAACTCTGTATACTTTTCTTTGTAATTAAAAGCCTTCGTGTTATCACTAGTAGTTTCCTCCCAATATGAATCAATTGAGTGTGTGGGGGGGGGTAGTTAATTAGATTCAGTAATTTAGCACTGAGCAGAAAGGTCAGAGTTAGGAGACAGGGAAGAAAGCTGCGTCTTCATCTTTTCAGATAGGTGAGATAACATAAAACAGCTCCTTCCTAAGAGAGGGAGCCTCAGCAAGGGAGGATGTGGCTCTCCTGTGTATCCTGTTTATATAAACAGTACTGTGTAAGGACTCACCCTATCAATTTAATGTCCCTGGGATGCTTTCCTTTGGATAGCTGCTCTTCCTCTTTTCACCACAGAGGGGAGTGTTGGGATTCTGTCCAGGCATAGAAGACAGTCAAAAGGGACAAAAAGAAGCAAACAACTTCTTTTACACAAAATATCACCCGAGTCGTTTCAGAATTGTCTTGGTTACTTTTCTCTCATTGCTGAGACAAAATACCCAGCATCCAAAATTAAAGAGGGAAAGGTTTATTTAGCTCACAGTGTGTAGCGGTTTCAGTCTATACTTAGCTGGTTCCAAGGCAGGGTGGTATGGCAGCTGGGCAGCAGTTCATGGTGATAAAAAATAGCAAATGCAACAAGAGCAAAAAGGAAGGAGTGTGCAGACTCTTTTTGTCCCTTATAATGCATGTAGATTACCCTTCCCAGGGTGAGTTTAGCACGCACACGTACAATCCCAGCCTCGGACCATGAATCAAACACAAACTCTAGAAGCCCGCCTCCAGAAAGGCACCTCCGTGACTGCATGAGGCTTTTAGAGGCCATCCAGACCCAAACTATAACAAGAATTGATTTCATAATAAATGTTTATAGGAAAAAATGAAAAGGAAACTTTCCCCCAGCTTGTTTTAATGATGTTACACAGGTTGCCTGTACTGTGAGCCTTAGATGGAAAAACATCTACCTCAATAGGAAGTTAAACTTTAAGATATACAGAAGTAAAATGTTGTCTTGAATACTGTTTTGGGGAGAGAGATGAGGTCATCTAGATAGGTTGGGGATAAGAACTTGCAAAGGTACCCAGTGCTGTAACATTCAGTAGGCCAGGTGTGAGTGACCCCTCCCCCCATTTAATAAGGGCGCTCTCATAATTCAGCCTGTGGGGTTTTAAGTATAGTTTATTGGGCTTGTTTAAAATACCCATGTCTTATTTGCAGGAAGTAATATTTACTGATTCATTTGTATTTTAAGGAAATTCTTTAAAAAATGTTTTTGTTTTAGAGGAACTTTTTTTTTTTGAGGGAGCAGTACTGGGGATTGAGACCAAGGCCTCTGCACTAAGCTACATCCCTAGCTTCAGACTACCCCCAACCCCTGTTTTTTTAATTTTTCAGATAAAATCTAGCTAAATTGCCCAGGCAGGGCTTGAACTTGCCATCCTCCTGCCTCAGCCTTATAGAGTATGGGAATTACAGGCATGTACCACCATGCCTGACATTTACATTCTTAAATGTCAGAATTTGTTATTTCTGAATATTCAATGTGTGTTTCTATATACAATTTAATGATAGTAAAAGAATGAAATTATAAAGTTGGCCTCTTAGAGATACAGAACATCTCTTACTGATAAATTCTAATTGTCTTCAGAGATGCTCTTGAATAGTGTACTTTTAAGGTTAAACACTGCCCTTGATTCTCTGACTATTTATGGCTAGTACCCATTTTGCTTTGGACTCCCTTTAAAGACATTTGTAATTTTGATGTCACTTTTCTTTTTAAGATTACCTTTTGGACCCTCGCATTCATCCTGTCCCACGCCGACATCCACAGGACCATTATGGAAGGCATCACTTCTGTGCTGGGTGGAGCAGGTACTGAACCTGTGTGGCTTTACAGCATCAAGGATGCAGCCAAGAATCCATACTCATCACATGGATTTGTGTGCTGTTTGGATCTTGAGTATCCCCAAGGCCTTTACTGGTGACCTATGGGAGATCCTTAGTCACTGAGGGCTAGTGTTCCAAAGGACTGGTGTCCTGCTCTTCCCCTTCTGCTTCCCACCCTCTGGAGGTGCCATTCACGCTGCCACACGTTCCACTGTTGCCCTCTGCACCCGCAGGGCACGAAGGCAGTGGCTCTGCCCAGTCTTGATCTGGGGCCCACTATTGTGAGCCAAAACAAATACATTTATATATTATAAGTTAATTGTCTCTGATATTTGTAGAAATAGAAAGTTGGCTAACATAATCCCAAAGCTAAATGTGTATACTTTAATAGAAATTCAGCATACTTCAGAGTTCAACATAATTTGTTATGTATTTTAGTATATTAGAATCCTAGAAACCAGGCAGAATCTCAGAATTTAATTATGGTCAAGTTCTTGAGGAGCCCTCTGGTCTAATATTCTTATTTTCTAAATGTTGACGTGGGAGCAGAAGAGATTGTGATTTGACTCTGTTCCTTCCAGTAGCCTGGCCTCTTGCCTCAGTTGGTCTGCAAGGCCACAGTTGTGGAGTTCAGGATTTTCCTGATTTAAAATAACATGTGTATCTATTATGTAGCAGCACTGGGTGTGGAGCTCAGGTCAAGTTCGCCACCAAATTGTTACAAAAAAGCAAATTCTTGCCATTGTTGGATACTGGGGGATTTAGGAACTGCAGGTGGTGATTATTACATTGAATTTTTCAGTTCAGACTCATCATCTGTCCAATAAAGAAAGCTCAGCTTCCTGACCTCTGTGCAGAGGAAAGTGTTTTAGAAATCTATCAAATCATGTGTGTGGCTATACAAATAGTAAGTGATTTGGTTTTCTTGGAACAAACAATATATAATGTTAGTGCCAAATGTGTGAGGCCATTGACAGCCATCTATCCTACAAGAGCTACACGTCGTTCACACCCTATTCCAGTTTCCAGGCTTGGAGTGGAGGCCGCCCGTCCTGTTGATTCACTGTCTCACTCCTGTGCAGTGCTGCCGATCTGCTGTGTTGATGTTCAACATTTTCCTCTGGTTCCTTTTTCGTAGCATTCCGTTAGACAGTGATTCAGGCCTTGGCATTCTCTCTTTTCCTCTTCAGAAATTGCTGAAGTGAAAGGTCTGAAAGTTGAGTAGATATCCCTCTAAACATCACAAGCTACAATTTTAGAACTAGTACACAGACTAGGTAGAAGTGATGTTTTTCGACTGAGATTTAGTCCAGCTTTTATCTATCTGCTGTTGTTCCATTTAGGCAGTGTTTCCTCTATATTTATTATAAATGAGCCTTGTCCTTGATTCCTTGAATAAGGAATTGTGAATTTTAGCCATTTTATCTTCTGATCAGTAGAAAACTTGGAAGTCTCTTTTATTAGAGGGAGTAATACTGGTGTAGAGTGAGCCACCCTATTCTGAGAGGAGGGTCTTGGATGGTCCCTTGGTGCAGTGGCACTTCTTTTCAAGAGAAGAATGGGGCTGGGATATTACTCTCGAGTACATGCGGGCGGCAGGAGGGTGGGGATGCCAGCCTCTTGCTGTCCTTATCTCTGATGCTGTAATAGTCTGTGCTGAGCCGGGCCGCAGCATCACGCTCCCGGCCTCCCTCATCACTGCCTCTTTCAGACTCAGTCTACCATGAATGTTGCGCTGAAGCAGCCAGCAGAGCCTGCTTTCCGGAGGTTATTGCCTAGGACGTTCAGTAGGAATGTGTGTCTCTGATGTTACAGTTCCTTCCTGCCTCCCTCAGGTGCCAGGAAACCATACCTACCTCTGGAAAAGTTACAAGAATGGGAGCTAGGAGCTCCAAAATGATTGCAGTGCTGGAAGAAGCTGGGGTAGGGGCCTGCCAGGACCTTGCTATGGGTCCTGAGCCCAGTAACATCTTGGACTCAGGCTCTTCCTCTGCTCTCCCCCGTCCGAATTCCTAAGGGTTAGTGCTCAGGAATCTTCTTAATTATCCTTTTTCACTGTTAGGAAAATCATTTTACTCTGTAATTAAATTCCTATTGTGCATCTTCAGGTGACATAAATCCAGAGTTGCCCTTACAATATGCAGGAGGATTTCAGAGCTCACTGATCTTCCCACCTCTGGTCCTATGGCTCCTACTCCCTGGAGGACCCCACCCAGAGCAGAATCAGCCACACTGGGAAAAGCCTAGTTCCTCAAAACATGTCCCTTGCTGAGCCATGTGACCTGGCTCACTGGCTCCTTATTTTATTGTCTGTTCTTCCATCCTTGCCTGTCTCTGCTTCTCAATGCTGGTATCTTCTCACTGCCTTTTAGAAGAGAGGGAAATAAAAGTTTGAAGAAGGAAAAGATTATCAGGGTTGTTGAGTTTTCTAGTTTTCAAAGATCAGTTTCACAATGTTCTTTTTCAAAATTAAAACAGTGGTAAAAAATTTTATTGCATTACCCATCAGAGAGACACCAAGTAAATCTTTATCTCACTAAAAAGTCCCACCAATCGCTAACCAGCCCTTTTTTACTCCTTATAAATGACTACAGTGGGATCATTTTACGTAGGAAACCTTTGAGGAATCTAATCTACTTCAGGACATCTGTATCCTTATGTGAGATGTGCTAATCTTTTCCCGTGAAAATGGGTTTCTTCTGACGAGAAAACAGCTGTTTTATAAATGTAGACAAGTATTTCTGCAACCAAGTAGATGCACTTTAAAATGCAATTCTTGAGCATCACTTATTCTTTAAATTCCTGAGATGAAAGGAGGAAAGCAAGATTTTAAGCTGCTTCTGCAATACTACAAATTCTTATTTACTGCTTCTTTTTAGCTTTGTTTCTCTTCTCTAAAAGCTGAATTTTTTTAGCAGTTCTCCTGAGGTCCTTGGTTTACAAAATAAGCCAGAAAACTGAATAGCTTTCTGTCTTTGTCCTCCAATAGCAGGTGAGTCCTTACTTCTTTATTTTTATGCGGCAGTCATAGAAATACAGTGGTTTTTTTTCGAAGCTATCACATAGGTTTTGAAATGACAGTCTAAAGTAACCACTGACTTCTTTTATTTGATTTATTTTTTTTAAAGCAATGTTATTGTAAAATTTAGAAAGTTGACTGCCCAACCACATTTTGGTAGGGATCGTTGCAGAAGGTTACTGGTGCTCTTGGTTTTCAGAAGGTATCCCTGGACTTCACTTGCCCTCGGGGCTACTATGGCCCTATGCACGCATCTGTGCTTTACGGATTTTCAGCCTGCTGTGCTGTGAATGTGAAAAGAGGGCCTCGCCACACTGATGGCGAGCAGAACTGAGGGTGCGAGCTTCCACAAGTAAAGAGAAAAGCGGAGCTCTGTTGGGGAAAGCGCTGGTGAGATGTTAGCGGGATTTCTCCACTTGCCTTTCAGTGTCTCTCCATGTCTTTCATGCTGGCATAGACTCCTGCTTTTCCTTTGGGCAGACATGGTCTGCTCCTGGCTCTGCTGGAAAGGTCTGGAAAGGCCAAAGGACCAGAGGTAGAAATGACTCAACAGAGGTCTCCCGTCCCTTTCTTTCTGTCAAAATGTAGATTATTCCCCCCAGAGTTATTAGCTAGGTCTTTGTATTGTGTTATTCCAGGACTATAGAAACAAATTTTACACGTTATTTATTTATCATGTATGTGTATGTCTGTGTGTATAAGGAGAACAGCTTGAGTTACTAAGAAAGCAAAGGGGATATCTGTTAAAGGGCTTCCTTTAGTAATTGTGTTTGACTTTTTTTAAGCCCAAGAAATCATGTTTTCATGATTAATTTTGGAATTCATTTTCCTTCGCCCACCCGTCCTTCTGGCCGTAGTTGACATTCGAGCCTAAGCTAGAGAGATAGTGATACGGACTCCACTGACACTTGGTCCTCGCCTGCGGAACTTAGAGCAGAGCCATGGCTGTGCAGAGCTGGTTTGTGCCCTTGCTTCCCAGCAGTGCCTGTCTGTCTCTTTCCTCTCCCCTCTTGGGCGAGCAGCAGCATCTTAGCAAGTCCAGACCCTCCGTGGAGGCGGACCTACACTTGAGGGCTGCCTGACACCTTGAGCCTATCTCTTTTCCTGCACTGACCTTTCCAAGGCTGAATTAGCTGGCAGGTAGTCAGGAGGAATGCGTGGGAGGCTCCCAAATGTTTATGAGGTTTGATGGCCTGAATGTGAGCTTGTTCTCTTCCACGCTCCCTCGGCACCCGGTTGGCCTAGCATATAACAGGTGTGTGGCAAATTGGTGTTAGGCGAATCGGTGACTGAATAATAGAGTCTCTATTCTGTAACTTTCACATGTTGCTGCATTATGCCATTACGACTATTTAGTCTCAAAACTACACAATATTTTAGAGACCTCCTTTGCTGTTTTTGAATGCATGAATCATCCTTTCTTTTATTTGGTTTCAAATATCCTAAGGTTCGATTTTAATGCATTTATGCCAAGAGTTAAACAGATGGTTTCTAAATTTAACCCCCCATCGCCCATAGTAGCTTTCCTGGTCGTCTCCTACTGTGGTCCTTCTGATGATTACCTTGGCGGTCTTCCAAGTGGCGCCTTCTAATTTTAGAGTCACAGAGCTGGAGAAACAGACCACAGATGTGCACTAGCATATGCAGTGCCTGGGAAGAGGCCACTTTTAAATGTCCTAACAGCAGAGGTCTTTTGTCCTTAAAGATGCTTGACAACTTACTCTTATTTCCTTGTTTGCCTGGTTCCAGAATATTTGTCCCATATCAAACTGGGGTTTAAGAAACCGAAAATATTTGATCAAAACATTTAAGTGTACTATCATCCATATATTTATGAGTTAGAAGTTCAGATATTTGCAACTCAAAAGAAGTTTTTGTTTCTGTACTACATATTATAGTATAAAGTAATATATACATCATTCAACTAGTCTAATAATAAAACATAATACAAATTTAAAATCTCTTT